GCTGTCGGGAGCCCTGAGAGCTGCCTCCTGAGCAGTGACGACGACAGGGTGTGCCCAACACGGCCCTTCCTGACCCGCCTGGCACTCAGTGCTGGTGCTGGTGCGATGGGTGGACTGAGGGCTTAGAATTGTCTCTGGGAAGTGAAACGAAGGATCATCTTTTCTATTTCTCTCTGCCGCTGTATTTTCTGCATTGAGCTTGTACGGCTATATAATTTTTAAAGGAGTTAACTTTTATGATAAATGGGGGTGGGGGGGGGAATGCTGAGGTCATTCTGTAAGGTACCTCTAGGTCTCTCCTCGTTCACAAACTTTGTGTAATATTACCACTGTCACATTTTGAAGACTTCTTTAAAATGCATGTAGACGTAGGAAGAATACAGTGTCTTCCATGTCAGTCCAAAAACAAATGATCTTTGTTTCCACCAACAGTGGGCTTAGACGCCCTGGGTTGGGGCGAGTCAGCCTTCACATTGCACCTGGGTCTGTGGCCTTCTTACCACTCAGTCACCTCCCCCTCAACACTGCCCGGCCAGCGCTGGGTGGTCAGCCTTTGGAGAAAGGTCGGGTTGGAAGAAGGTTTGTGTGTTGTTAATCCTCAGTGGAGGACATTTCTCCTGATCTTTAGAGACGGAAGGGAGGGGAAGAAACAGAGACAGCGGTGTGAGAGGGCCATGTCGATTGGTTGCCTCCCTCGTGTGACCCAACCGGGCCGGGATCAAACCTGCAGCCGAGGTACGTGCCCTTGACTGGAATCAAACCCAGGACCCTTCAGTCCATAGGCTGACACTCTAGCCACTGAGCCAAACCGGCTAGGACCTGAAGGAGGTTTTTGAAATAAGACTTTTGTTTTCATACAGAAAAGATCTTACTTAAATGTGGTAAGCTGTGAAGAATGCTCAATATCATTCGTCATTAGTGAAATGAAAAAGCCACAATGATATCCCACTACACACGTTGGAATGGCTAATGGTTTTTTAATTGGCAATATCAAGGACATAGAGCAATTAGAAATATCAGACATGTTTTGGCAGGGTTTCTTATAAGTTTTAACATGCACTTATTACTTGACCCAGCACTCTCATTCCTAGGGTTTATTTTTTTCAAGAGAAATGAAACATATGTCCAAACAAGGACCTGTATGCAAATGCTAGAGGATTTATTCATAATTGCCAAAAACTGGAAACAACCCAGGTGTCCACAGAATGGGACACTGAGGGTAACAAAAGGAACAAACTACTGGTGTGCGACAATGTGGCTGCATTTCAAAGGCAGGCCCTCCGTGACAGGAGCCGCACGAAGGCTGCCAGAGCACGGCTCTGTTTGTATGACATCGGAGAAGCAGAGCTGGGGACGCATCAGATCCGGGGCTGGGAGTGAGATTGACCTCAAAACGGCAACTTTCCGCCATGATAGAAGTACCCCACCCCCAGCTTGACTATGCCAATGGTTATAGGACTGTCTGTGGCTGTTATTGCATGTACTCTCCTAACGCCATAAAGCCAGCGTAAAGTCATATCATGTAGGCTCTTGTCGGGTAGCTCAGTTGGTTAGAACATTGTCCTCAGACACCAAGGCACCAAGGTTCCGGGTTCAGTCCCCAGTCAGGGCACATATAAGAAGCAATCAATGAATGCATAAATAAGTGGAACAACAAATCAATGTTTCTCTCTTTCTCTCTCTCAAAAGAGTAATATGTAGTAAATGGATGTAAAGAGTGATGAACATCTTTGAACAGCAATATAAGTGCTTAGTTCTCTAATTGACGAATATATTTATCATGATATGTAGCTAATGATCTATTGTGTGACTTGTACATCATTTTTGCCCTCCTGGATGTAGGGAATAATAACACAGAGCCTTTAGTTAATGTGCATGGCAATTGCTGAGTGATTGGAACTGAGAAGCAGAATTTCCTATGAGAGTGGACACATTTAACAGATAACCAAAGCCGGAAGCTTGGACTGTGGGTGGAAACCAGCGAGGGTAACTGCGCTGGGGACAGGTGGGACCTCTCTGTGACCTCCTGAGTAACGATGCTGACTGGAACGGAGTCTAGTTCCTGCTTCCTCTGCCAGCTGCTCAAGCCTCGCTCCCAGTGGGTTGGAGACCGATTCGCTTGGTGACCAATTTCCCGAAGCTGGTGTGCCAAGACGAACCCACTTGAAAACTGTGGGCTCTCGGTCTTGGCTGCGAGGCCGTCCAGCTGAGGTGGGTGGCCCCGCATCTGCTGCCGCATTGTGCTGCCTGCTGCCTCCATCTGCTTTCTGTCAGAGCAGGTGCCAGCAAATCACTGATCTATTAGAGGAACATGGACTTGGAGCGCACCTCGTCCTGGCTGGGCCTCTCCGGTGCTGCTGGTCATATTCGGTTTGTGTTTATGGGGGCGGGGGGCGGGGGGGGGGGGGTGATACACCATTAAGCAGGCAAAGATAGCGTATCACCCCCACAGGGGCATGAATCAGTTTTCACTCCTTCCCACACAGTTTTAAAAGATTGTGGGAAAATCCTGTTAATGGTTATCGATAACAGCCGGTGGTGGTGAGAGCTCCTACCACTCAGAGGTGACTGCCCGGCCCTGGACCGTCAGTTTGTGCCTGTGCCCATCACCAGCCTGACTCACGGACGGCCCAGACGGAGGTCTGAGAGATTGAGTAACTTGTCCAAGTGATGCCGCTGGGAAGCACCAGAACCGACACATGAACCCGGATTCCAGAGCCCATGCTGCCTTAGACCCATTTCCCTGTGGGCACGCGGCACAGCCTCAGCCTCCGGGGAAGGAGGGAGACTGGGTTTCTCCCACTGGGCAGAGGCCTCTGTGCCTGGGACAGGGGAACTGACATGGGACTCGCCATGTGCCACAGCCAGCGGCTTTCTAAGTACACGTGTGTACGTGTTGCAGGCCCAGTGGCTGTGCTCTCATGAGTGACTACTTCCTGCTCTGAGACAAAGGGTCCAGAGCACTTCCTACTCTGAGACAAAAGTGCAGCTGCTGGATGAGCAAAGCCCCGAACGCAGCTCCTCTCCGGTGCAGACAGGACTGAAGGTGCGAAGGCTCCTCAGCCACTGCTCCTGTGCTCAGCAGGGCAGCCCACTGCCCGCTAACCCAGGGCCCGGCTGTGAGCGAGGTCAGCAAAGTCGGAGCCTCCTACCCTGATGAAACCGCCACGGGCCTCATCGGCCATAACCACGTCTGCACATCTGTTTTCTGAAACGAGTGAAGTGTCATTGCATTTCCTTCGAAAGCCAAGAGGACATATGTTTTCACTGCATCAAGTTTCTCACCAAATGAGTCACCAAATGCGGACTGGGGGAGGGTGGAAACGAGCCTGAGAAATAGCGTGGAAATGTGAATTAATTTCATTTGCATTCAAACTGTGAATGAGTTTCCTTGTTTGTAATGAAGTGAGAGCCAGAAAGGAGCCCTGGGTATCACTGACGTGGTCACATCCTGTGGGAGCGGGCGTGTGAGGTCAGGAGGGGAAGTTCTGGCTGCCTGGGCGCTGGGGCTGCAGGGGACGAGGCAGCCCGCCCGGCTCTGCGCCTCCCACCAGGGTGAGGAGCAGAAGGAGCCCTTCGGCGAGGAGGTGACGGGAAACAGACCTGTGTGGTCCTGTGGGCTGGGCGATGCAGCAGCCCAAGAGCTTTTTGTAAAGATTGTGGAAATGGATGCGCAGTGAATTTTTTTTTTACTTTTCCTTGAAACACTGTAAGCTGGATTATTTCTGTAAAGGCAGAGTAGTTTCCTCATGAAAAGGCAGCTGTGTGTGTGTGTGTGTGTGTGTGTGTGCGCGCACACGTGCGCATGTGCACGAGGTGGAATGGCAAGGGAAAGGAAAAATAACCCACAAAAGCAAAACACAAAGTCAGTGCATAGTGAGATTGTCTGAGATTGTGATTCTGAGCTGCCTGAATGCAGGAATTGAGTTGTATTTGACTCTGTATCCTTTGTGCCTAGAACACGTCGTATGGGCAATACTTCCAGAAAGTAGTGAAACACTAGTTCTTGATTCTACACGCATCTTCCCACGTGTGTTTTATTTCAAGTCATTTATTGGAAGGCGGTATATTTTACTGGTTAATCGCATGGGTTCCAGAGTTGGTTTGCTTGGACTTGAGTCCTCAGCTACCAGCTGTTGGTTTTCCTCAGTTCAGTGGGATCGTGGTCGCGTCTGTATGCCCCGTGGCTACCAGAGAAAGGAAGGAAGCCGTCAACCAAAGCCTGGCCAGCAGCCTTACTGCTGGGGTGGCAGAGGTGTGCCGTATTGAGTGGGTTAATGTATGTACATCCAGTCAACAAAAAGGCATGGAGGCGAGGAAGCAAAGCCACTGACGTGGAGGCCAGGCCACGGCAGCTGCGTTCTCCCCCAGAACCGGTGCCCAGTGGGAGTGGGTGCCCAGGATGGGGTGAGGGTGGTCGGAGCGCCTCATCTAGGCCTTGCTGCTCCCAGGTGCTGCCACCTCATTGCGCGAGTGACATCCACCGATCGAAACTATATTTCAAGAGACCACGCACCAGCCCCGGCACCTGGTGCTCAAGCCAAACAAAGAGTGTTCCCTGCACCCGAGGAAAACGGACTGCTGGGCTCTCGGAGGGGTTCCGCGTGCCACCCCTGGGGTGCTTTGGAGCCTGGGCTTGGCCATCTGCTCCCCTCATCCACGCCGGCAGCGGGCTGGGGCGGTGGCCTGGGGTGAAGTGCAGGGATGGGAGGCGGAGGCCGGAGCGGCCTTGGTGCCAGCATACCCAGCCTGTGCATGGACCGAGTTAATGATAGCCTGGTTTCGCCTCCATGCCTCGCTGTCCTGGACGGCTCCTGCCCTGGAATGTGCAGAAAGAGTGAGTTTGAGGCTGCCACTTGCAGCACCTGCAGGAAAGGGTTAATACAAATGACTAATGTTCTGTGTTGATCGGTGTTGGACGGAAAGTTTGCAGTGACTGTTTCACAAGTCCAGAGAGTAAGCGAAAGGCCCTAATTTGTGTTTGCTTGCTTTTCGTTTAGGTAACTACTCCAGACCTCCTACGTATAGTGGGGTGCCCAGTGCAAGCTACAGCGGCCCAGGGCCTGGTGTGGGCATCAATGCCAACAGCCAGATGCACGGGCCAGGGCCAGGCCAGCCGTGCGGTGCTATGCCCCTGGGACGAATGCCATCAGCCGGGATGCAGAACAGACCGTTTCCTGGAAACATGAGCAGCATGACCCCCAGCTCTCCTGGCATGGCGCAGCAGGGCGGGCCAGGAATGGGGCCGCCGATGCCGACCGTGAACCGTAAGGCCCAGGAGGCAGCCGCCGCAGTGATGCAGGCTGCTGCCAACTCCGCACAGAGCAGGTATGCCGTCGGGGCGGCGTTCTGGCGTGCGCGGGGCTGGGCGCCACGGTCCCAGGGCAGTGGCTAGTTCAGGAGACTACGTGACACACCAGTTCTCTAAGGCACCAGAGGAGGAGCCTGCGTGCTGGGCCAGCCGGTTGTGGGGTGTGATTTGAAATGGCCATGAATGCCGAGGCATGCTGGGGTTCTCGTTAGCAGAGCCAGGTTTGCCAGGAAACCTCAAGCCTGTAAATGGTTAAAACCTGAATCATTGAGAAAGAACATCCCCCGTTTGTCCCCGCACCATAAAATGTTCACAACAAAGAAACTTTGTACACATATGTGTGTTGTGTGTGTTTGTCTAAGTGTGTACGTGTGAGATTCATCCTTTATGTTCTTAACGTTTTATTTTTCTGGGCATACCCATCTGACCAAACCACAATGAGGTTAGTAACGCAAAGATACTATTTCAGAAAGTTTCACTGGACCCAGGAGGATTTTATCCTCAACTACTTGATTTCAATCCTGATTTTAAAATTCTTGAAGTAAATACTTGACCCGTATAAAAGTAACATTGAATTTAAAAATTCAGAGGCCAAAGTGAATGTTTTCAGAGAAGCAGCTGTATATGTTTTATGTTTAACTTATGCTAAAATTCATTTAAAACAAAGTAAATTGAGCCCAGCTGGCGTGGCTCAGTGGTTGAGCATCGCCCTATGAACCATGAGGTCCTGGTTCGATTCCTGGTCAGGGCACAGGCCTGGGTTGCAGGCTGGATCCCCAGTAGGGGGCGTGCATGAGGGAGCCAATCAGTGATTCTCTCTCATCATTGATGTTTCTGTCTCTCTCCCTCTCCCTTCCTCTCTGAAATAAAAAATATATTTTAATTTATTAATTTTTAAAAAGCAAATTGAACGATATAAATGAAAATAGGGTACCTTAAAGAAAAGATAGAAGGTTCTGATTTTTTTTCCCAAGGGAGATAAAAAGCGTGCACAAGTACGTCTGTGTGTGTGTGTGTGTGTGTGTGTGTGTGTGTAATTGTGTTCCTTTGTTACTTTTCCTCTGAAGCTGCTATTTGGGAATGTTAGGGACCCCTTCAATCTTACTGTTTCCTCCAAATAATAAAAAATTTCCCTTGAATCAAAATGAAAACCACTCCTTCTCTCTCCCCTCTCTCCTCCCCCTCTCGCCATCTCTGTCATCCACATCACAGTTAGAACTCCTGTGTGCCAGCAGTATACCTCTAACCCAGACCTGTGCCGATCCAGGGGAGGCTTTCATGAGCCTGTCTGTGAGCACTGGTTTGACTGGTATTTAAGGGGAAAGCACTTGATTGGATGGATGCGAAGCCTTGGCTAGCGATCTGGGAGAAGATGGCCATAGAGATGCCCTGCTCCCTTCCGAGTCAGTTCACCTGTCACTCTGCAGAGAGGCAGGAGTCACTGTCATTTCCCTTCTATTTGCCGTTGGGAGACCATTCCACCGCCTGCCTGAACTCCAAATGGACTGTATTTTTTACCAGAGTCAAAGCTGTACTTCAGAACTGAACCGAGATGAGATCAGAAAATCTTACTCTGTTCTCTCCTTCGTCCTGCCCGCCCCCTCCACCATCCCCCCCCCCCCCCCCCCCGCCTTTTAAGGAAAGTACCCCGTTCCACTCAGGCAGCTGCATGGTAGAGTGTTACACCACATCTGTGGCCCTCCACACCTGTGTGTGGAAGTGACAGGTGGATGGGGTGTTCAGACTGTCGAAGGAACAAATCCAAAGAAGTTGTTCTTCTGTTCTGCTTTAGGCCACCATACATTAGGTCGCCTGCTTATCCCAGCCAGTCTGGGGCTGGCGGACGCCCCCTGTTTTCTTCCCAGCACCCCAACTATGGCAACTCTCAGGCTCCCATGATGCACCAGCCTGACCAGTACGGGTAGGTAGCAACAGACCCTGACTCGCTGGGGCCCTGGGCGATTTTAAACTGTTAATGACGTGCCATCTGGCTGCACAAGTAACTCACAAAACAGTGAAAGACTCGACGGAAATCCATCTCAGAGGGGCTGTCTTTCTGTTCTTCCTGTTCGTGCTGTTCTGTTTCCATTGCCAGCACTGTGCTGGCTCGGTAGCAGCTGCATGCCGTCCCTGCTCTGTCTGCATGGCTGTCGGCATGGCTTCTTCCCTCATGCCTGAGATCAATCCACGTTTCCTCTGCGGAAAAGTAATGAGATGGCCTGCTCTGGTGTCGTTCCCCCTGTTGTCGTGTGTTGTCAGGTACCTGTGTTGTGTTAACATGACGGTGTTCCTGTCACTCCTGCCACTCACCCACAGCTCCAGGGCAGTGGCCGCCTTTGGCCAGAGATTCCCTGGAAAAATACAACCAGACAATCCTCCACAGAACTTCCTCCCTGAACCGGTGTTGCCGTATTATCAATTACAACACAGGAATTACAGACAGCAACAAAAAGGGTCTCTTTCCTACCAGAAAACTAGTATCAGGCGACACTGTCTTAGGTTAGGGAATGCTTTTACAGTATGTTATTATTGAGTGACTTACAAAGCAATATTTTTGTATAGTAATATAAGATTATCCTACACAGATTGAATCATGTGCACTAGATAGTTTCTGTAGAAACATACCACATTTTTGGTGAAAATAGGAAACTTTCAACTAGCTTTATTTAAGGACTAAACTCACGCAAATGTGCTTTCACCAGTTATGAATGCGCGCTGGCGAGCTTTTTAATAGTCTTTATATTCAGGATACATTTATTTCCACAGCGAGAGCGAATGGTAAGTTTGCAATTGAGAGTTCTAAATCCTGTCAACATGGTCCTAAATGTGGACCAACAAACAGAGACTACTACAAACATGGCCCTAAAAATGCAGTAACAGATAGAGGGCTGGGTGAGCACGCATTTGGGGGAATTGTGTTTTCCTCTTTTCCTTCCTGTGGCACCTTCAAGGTCATTGCCGCAGCCGGTGGGAAGGCGGCCGTGGTGGGAGAGGAGCATTCACATCAGCTGCTAATCCATGGGCTCTGTCCTCCCACCTCGGCGGTGCTGTCGGGCCCCACGCAGCTCGCTGCCTGCGCCTTGCCAAGCCACATTAGGCAGCTGTGTGAAATGAATTTAAATGGCAGGCGTCAGCGCAGGCTCCGCCGCTGGGGCAGAAAATCGATGTGAGCTAACAGCACGTGGAGTGGGGCCTGCGCAGCCAGCAGCGTGGCGAGCGTCCTGGAACCGGGGGAGGGCGGGGGGGGGGGGGGGGGGGGGGGGCTCTGCGGGTCTGCTGGCGGCTGGGGCCCCGCCCCTTAGCTCTGCATCCTGTGTTTCCTGTCCACAGCAGAGACACCGTGTTTTATCTCTGTGTTAAGTCCTCCTCTGCGCTTTGCAATGCACACGGCCTGCTGTGCTGTTCTCGGGGCGCCCCGTGGGTGCGGGTGGAGCTGTGGGTTCAGGAGTTTGGTGTCCACGTGCTTTTGCGTCCCCACAGCTCACGCAGCAGACGCCTGCCCGTGCTTTGTCTTTGTTTCCCGGGACAGCCGTCTGGTCAGGGTGATGTGGGCCGTCTGAGGAGCCAGTTCCTGCGTGTCAGTCTCTGGGAGGAAGGAGGGTCCCGGTTTCTTATGGCGACTCTTTCTCAAGTCAGAATCCAGGGCCAGGAGACGTTCCGCTCCGTGACCGCCATCTGGAGAGCGTGCTGGCAGTGCTGGTCTCTCACGGAGTGTGAACAGCATTCCCTCCGCCCTTCCTCAGAGGGGAAAGGAACGGACATGAGCAGAGGCGGTTACCAGCAGGCCGGGGTTTCCAGTTCAGCTGGAAAGCCACTAAGGCTGTAGTTTGGTGAGGCATCGCACCCATCAGCTGTCCAACAGGGAACACCCTGTCCACAGCCAGGGACGATCGTCCAGAAAGACTCCAGTGCTGGGAGGACATTCCGAAGGGCAGCGAAGGGGAACGAAAGGACCCACTTTCCCGGCTGCTGTTTCCATCCGTCTCCCGGCCTCGCCTCTGGAAGCTGAGAGGCGCCATGCCCAAGCCAGGCCCGTGGTCTCCGAGCCTGTCAGCAGTCCGTGACGCCCCGAGATCCAGCCTCTGTGCACACCGCCACCCAGGGGACACGGTGGCGCCCTCTTGTCATTCATCACCAGTCCTGTCATCTCCCGATCTCACATAGCCCTTTCCTGCTTGGGTCCCGGCACCGTCCTGCTTTCTAGACTGTCAGAGCCACACGACCCATCAGCCCTGCACCCCTCTTCCTGCCCGGCATCCTCCCATCCAGTCACAGAGCAAACAGCGCCTTTGAAATGCACGTTCCTTCTCGCCCTTTCTCCTGCTCATACACTTCTAGTCTCTTAGGGTGCAGACCAAACCTATGGAACCCTGGCATTGCATGACGTGGCCCTCCTGTCCTCCCCATCTATGGGCTCCCGCGGGCCCCTGGGTGGGCCCCTCAGGTTTCGCATGCCTTCCTCGGGGGGCTCCCCACTCACAGCGGGGCCTGGCGCCACTCTCCAGGCAGCTCAGTGAGCTCGGTGGTTTGGGTGACTGCGGTGCCCCTTGCCCACCCGCCCGCCCTCCCTCCGCTGTCCTAAACACCCCTCTTGGACAAATGATGGCAACTGCCAGCGCGATAGGAGGTGTCACTGATGGAGCTAGCTGTTTCCAGCACGTCTCCGAGGGAAGGTGTGATGGTGTTTTAATAGCACGTGGCTGTGTGTTTTCACAGGGCTGGACAGCCAGGACCCACGGCATCCTGTTCTCGGCCTTTGGTTGGTGACAGGAAGCAGTGCCTTTGGGGTGGATCCCCCGCACAACTCCGGGGGCCGAGGTGCCAAGATCGCTTTGCCGCCGGCGCCACGAGCGCCTGTTCACGGGGCTGCCGGGCTGCCGCATGGAGAGGGGCGCCGGGCGCTTCTCGCCTGTCGCTGTGTGGTTTGGAGCCTTAGGGAGCGCTTTTCCCTGTTTGGATAGTGGATTAAAGATAGCCAGGTACCACTGAGGAGGAGTCGGGATGGAGAGGGGAAGCCTGTCTCGCCAGCGGCCGGGCACAGGTGACGTGGTTTGCGTTGGTAGGAGGTTTAGGTGGGGCCGTGGTGGCGAGGACAGCGCTGTCTCCAGGAACACCCGGCGGGGTGGATTTTCCCGTTGGGACTCCCTGGTCTGGGAGCCCTCGGGTCTGAGTGGAGGAGGGCCCCAAAGGCCGTGCTCGCCTGGCTCAAACCGCATCCCTGGGGACAGTCACATGGACAGCAGCCGTGTCGCAGTCACGCCCCTTCTCCCCGAGCAGACGCCATCTCTGCCCATGGAACAAACCTCGAGCCACGTTGCCTGTGGCTGTTGGGAGTGAAACCTCTCTCCGTGTGTCTGCCTCTGGATGTAAATAAAGTGGCTGCACTCCTGCTGTCCCTGCTTTCTCCAAGGAGCTGTGCCAGAATCCGGCCGTTTCCAGGAGAGTTCTCGCTTCCCGGTGTCGCCGCTGGCGAGGCTGGTGATGCTGAGACGATGTGGCCTGCATGCTTCCTTGAAAGCACCACAGTCATGTACAGCCTACTGAGTTCACATTTGATTCTAATCAACTTAAAAACAAGATATTTAGCCTGGCTGGTTTGGCTCAGTGGGTAGAGCATCAGCCTGTGGACTGAAGGGTCCTGGGTTCGATTCCAGTCAGGGCAAATGCCTGGCTTGCAGGCTCAGTTCCCAGTAGGGGCATGCAGGAGGCAGCCCATGATTCTCATTGATGTTTCTAGTTCTCAACCTCTCCCTTCCTCTCTGAAATCAATAAGAATATATCTTTAAAAAACAAGATATTTAGATGGGTTTCACTTTCTGTTTTCCGCTTCCGAATTTAGGCCCCAGTGGGAAGCAGTATTTGCCTCCAAGTGGACCACTGGCAACGGTCTCTTTAAAACGTGTCTGCCTCTGGCTTTTCCCCAAACCAGGCCTTTGTTGGCAGATGAGCGTGTGATGTTTGAGAACTCTCCAAAGAGGCTGAGGGAAACCTGGGGAAGATTACTGGTGCGTGTGGGCTGAGGAGAGGACGTGGGGTGCTTCCAGGAAGTGCATCTGCAGCCCACGGCCTAGTCACCTGGTTTGTCCTTGGATGACGGCTCTTCAGCCCTAGCATCTCATCCCCCCGAAAGCCCATGTAAACGCAGTGTGGCTATCCTGCAGGTCTGCGTGTTCAAATGACAGCCCCCACGCCACACGTGGACGTGGACAGGTAGAGGGGGGCCTGGCTGTGTGGGCACCAGCTGCCGTGAGCACAGGCCCGTGGTCAGCACCTGTGGTTTGTGAGCACCGCCCAGCAGTCCTGTCCACAGCGCGCAGCCCAGTACCCGCCTTCGGCATAATCCCCACAAAACGTTTTTTCTCACCGTTTAACAAACCCCCTCCCGGACATTTTGGGCATCTGCTGCAGATTAGGATCTGTGGCATCAGGCAGCAGCAATTGGGACAAAACCTGTCTGTTCCCATCGACCCTGGAAGCTGCCCAGTGGTTCTCGAGCCCAGAGTCCAGGGTTGGGTTTGACAGGGAGTGTTTCCCTCGTCTCAGCTTGTATCTTTGCCTGGTTAGGTGTGTTTTGCCTGCTCTTGGTTCCTTTGCATAGAGAAAGCGTCTAGTGAGTGCCTTCTTCGCCCGCACTCTGTTTGGACACTCAGACTGAAAATAGCTACACTAAGAGAATAGTACATTGTTTTTCATTAATGACTTATGTTCACCTTTTAAAGGATATCTTTAAAATACTTTCATTATTATACGTTAAGAGCCAATAAACAATGGTTTACTGGAGGTGGAGGGAGTAGAAATCATCATTTATTTGGAACAGACAGGCAAAGCAGGTTTTTCCTTTCCTGTTAGCTTTACTTCTAAGAGTAAATATCAATGGCCAAATTTTTTAAAGGTACCGTATAAAGAAAAGCTTGACTACAATGTGGAGTCTTTTAAAGATTTTGACACAGGGAGAACTGTGGAAATTCCTGGAAAATTAAACACCACAGAGGAGAAACCAAGATGGTGGCATAAGTAAATACCTAAACTGCTGCCTCACACAACAATTTCAAAACTACAACTAAAAGACAAAACAGACATCATCCAGAACCATAGGAAGTCTGGCTGAGTGGAAATTCTACAACTAGAAGGAAAGAGAAAAGTACACTGAGACTCGGAGGAGTTGCACAAGGCAGAGGTACAGAGGTGCGTGCCCAGAGAGGGCTGGCAACTGAGTATGAGGCTGGCTTTCTCAATCGGGAGGGAGACAAAAGCTCCTAACTGCTCTGAACTCCAGTGCCGAGCGACACTCTTGGGACCCAGACTCATTTGGGGAGAAACTGGACTGTCTGGCAATGGGCAAAACTAAAGGGCAGCTTTCTCTCATAGGTGTTTACAGCGATTACCACAGGACAATGAAGCCTCTTAGAGCAGGGCTGATGGGAAGCCATTGCTGTCTGCTCTTGACTTCGCCACATCCAAGTTGAGCCCCATCCTTATGAGGCTTTTGCAAGTCTTGCCTCATAAAGGTATCTCCAGCACAGAAGTTCTCCTAGCGTAGATAGAGCTGATCCTCACAGCCAATTGGCCTGGAGGTCAATTCCTCCCAGTGATACCAACAACAAACAAGGCTTAACTACAACAAGACTGTGCACACAGCCCACAAAGGGGTGCACCAAGAATGTCCACCTAAGGTAACTGGGGAGGCTGAACCACTGGGCCCTATCGGACATCTAGCACACAAAGCCACCCTATCAACACAGGGAAGCAGCCAAAATGTGGAGACAAAGAAACAGGTCACAAAGAAAGAAATGGAGGAAAGCAAATGACTGGATATAGAGTTCAAAACCACAGTTATAAAGTTTTTCAAGAATTTTCTAGAAAAGACTGATAAATTTAGCGAGACCCTGGAGGATATGAAAAGGACCAATTAGAAATGAAGCATACACTGACTGAAATAAAAAATAACATTCAGAGATCCAACAGCAGACTAAAGGATCGCAAGAATCAAGTCAAAGATTTGAAATACAAAGAAACAAAAAACACCCAACCGGAAAAGAAAAAAGAACCCAGAAATATGAAGATAGTGTAAAGGAACCTCTGGGACAACTACAAGCATACCAACATCAGAATTATGGAGGTGCCAGAAGAAGAGAGAGAGCAAAATACTGAAAACCTATTTAAAGAAATAATGAGAGAAAACTTCCCCCATCTGGTGAAAGAAATAGATTTACAAGTCCAGGAAGCTCACAGAACCCCAAACAAAAGGAATCCAAAGATGACCACACCAAGACACATCATAATTAAAATGCCAAGAGCAATAACATTAAAAGCAGCAAGAGAAAAACAATAAATTACCTACAAGGGAGCACCCATATGATTGTCAGCTTATTTCTCAAGAGAAACTATGCGAGCCAGACAGGAGTAACAAGAAATATTCAAAGTGATGAATATCAAGAACCTACAACCAAGATTACGCTACCCAGCAAAGTTATCATTCAGAATGGAAGGTCAGATAAAGAGCTTCACAGATAAGAAAAAGCTAAAGGAGTTCACCACCACCAAACCAGTATTATATGAAATGCTGAAAGATTTAAGAAGTGGAAGTGGAAGAAGAAGAAAAAGGTAAAATAAAAATAAAAATTATGAACAACAAATAAATATATATCAAACAAGTGAATCTAAAAATCAAGTGAAATAAAAATCTGATGAACAGAATAAACTTGTGAATATAATAGAATCAGGGACATAGAAAGGGAGTGGACTGACGATTCTCAGGGGGAAAAGAGTGTGAGGAGTGCAGGAAGAGACTGGACAAAAATCGAACACCTATGGATGAGGACATTGGGCGAGTGGGGTAAGGGCAGAGGGTGGAGTGGGAAACAGGTGGAGGGGAGCCGTGGGATGGGGGAGGGGCAATTGTAATATTCTGAGCAATGAAGATTAATTTTAAAAATAAAAAAACACCACAAACCAGAAGAAGAAGAAGAAAGATTTTGCCACATTTCCTCCATCTTCTTGGCAGTAATTTCCCTGGGAAAATTAAACCATCTTGCTGCTAAAACCCTCCTCTCCCTCACTCCCCCAACCCCATCACCTGTAGTTAGAGAAGTGACATTCACCTCCTTTGATCAAACAGTGCCCCTTTGCACTTTGCAGGAGTGAAGAGATGTGTCTCAGAGTGTAGACACAAAACTAACCAAACTTAAGTCACCAAAAGATAATTTCATGAATCCGTGTGCGGGGAGCGTGGCCTCAGGACTGGAGCCTGGGAGGGACGTGGACTGGAGCCTGGGATTTCCTGCTGCTGGAACTCGGGGGACGAGGGAGTCAGCATTCACTGTGGCTCTGACACAGGAGCCTGGTGTGTGGCTCACAGCCCCGGGCTTCAGAATGTCAAAGAGGGTGGAAGGGATTTTGGAAATGCTCCCTCTGATAGTCAGTAGATCAGAAATTTTAGGTCAAGGGATTTTTTTTTTTTTTTTAAATAACCCTCCCACCCTGCTCATCTGTTTTGCATTTCTTTTCCGTTTTTTTGATGGGAGGATATTAAGTAATGTTCATAAAGAGTCAGCTCTTTTCAAATGGTAGTTAATTTTACTTGCTTTTGTAATTCCTGTTATTATTTCAAGTTTCCCCTTTCTTGCTTCTATAACCCCTATATAAATCTTGACAAGCTTAAAATGTAGAATTTATTTGTGAAGTTTATATGATTTGGAATCTTAGGCAATCCATTAAATAACTACTTAGCAATAGAGTTCAGCCTCTCTCCAGAAAATACACGAGTTTAAGCCAACATGAAACACACCAGCCCGCCCCTCGCACAGGTGCCCCCTGAGAAGTGGCCCCTGGGGCCTGCGCTGCCCATGCGCGCTCAGCATACAGACGCGTGTGCTCTCTCTCCCCACAGGCAGGGCAGCTTCCCGGGCATGAACCAGAGCGGCCTCATGGCTTCCAGCTCTCCCTACAGCCAGCCCATGAACAACAGCTCGGCGCTGATGAACACGCAGGCATCGCCCTACAGCATGACGCCCAACATGGTCAACAGCTCCACAGGTAACCCCGGCGCCAGCCTAAGGCCGCCGTCCCCCCTCTCCCCCGAGGCCGCCCCGCCTCCCCTTCCGGTGAAGTGGGGGAAACACCGCTCTCTGCTGCTTGGAAACCTGCTCCGTCTACGTGACAGTTAGGATGTGAGGATTGCATGTCCTGTACATCATGTGGGCACAGCTCCGTGTCATTGGAGAGCACTTGCTGACCATACGCACTCAGGTCTTGGGGGGCATCCTGGGGTACCGGCGGCCGCGCCGTGTCCTCACTGGATGGGCGGAGGCAGATGTGAGCATCCTGCTTCAGAGGAGACGACAGGCAGAGGGTCCTTTCCTTCGGGACGCTCACCTTAAATGTCTGCACAGGAGAGTGCTCTTTGCAGGTTGTTGAGAACTTAGAGACGTGGTTAAAGAGCTGGTTTAGTATTTTCAGCATGCTTACATTTTCCAACCCACTTTATGGCCTCAGCGGCTTTCTCAGCAAATCCCATCTGATTGGTGCGGGAAGCAGACCTCGAAATGGCTAGAATGCCCAAGCCTGGGCCGGCACCCTGTCCTCAGCCTCCTCCAGCCCGGATCACCCTTCAGGACCCCTGCTCCCCCCGCGAGCCGGGTGCTGAGGAAACTCCGGGTAGCTCCCGGCCGGTTTGGTTCTCCCCGGGGAGCGAGGGCCGCCCTGGGGGTGGGAGCCGCCGTGGAGCCAGAGGTGCCCCCATGACCACCTGTACCTGCTGCTGCTCTGGCTGGTGAGAGCAGCACTGGGCTGCCTGCTGCCCATCCTGCCGGCGCCAGCCCTGGTGTTCGGGCCTCCCCCTGATGGCTCCCCTTTGAACGGTTCGGAACAGGACGCAGTAGGAAGCAGGTGAACGGGAAAGTTTGTACATAAACAGAATAGGCCTTCCAGGGGGGGGGGGGGGGGCCAGGCCGTCCTTCACCCCTGAGGTGGGGCTTTCACGTCTGCGGTGACCAGGGCACAGCTCTGAGCAGCCTGTTAGCTAGAAGCTTCCCCACTGTCCCAGGTAATGGGACTCCGGGTTGTGGCATTATGGGTTTTGTCTGGCTTGCTGAAATAAAATTACCTCAGAGCATTGAATCTACACAATAAATTCTCACCTGCTATTAGCAATCCTCATTTTTGCCTTTTTTTTTTTTTTGGACTCCAGGGCCACAAAAAAAACCAACAACAAGCAGATGGCACCGGGGCCTGCCCGGGAAGATTTATGTATTCCTAAGGAATAACCAATTTCACGGAGATTCACAGAGAGGGGTTTTCACACTATTCAGATAATTCAGTTATTTGTTATTTCATACAAAGGTAATCTCTTCCATGAAAGGCCATTTATCCTCACAGGCTTTCATACGGACTAGTAGTATATGTACTTTTTATTGCATTGTGCATTTTGAAATATTGAATTTTTAATAATTTAAACATTCATCAAAATTTTTTACACATTTATGTGATTTTATTTCTGCTTTATTAAGTCAAATGCTACCTGATAGAAAGTAATAATGCTGCACATCTGAGGAATAGTGACGATTCAGCGTTTGCTGGCATGTGGCGAGGGCCCGCATGTCCGCAGGGCTGTGGGGCTGGCTCCGGGGGAGTGGACGGCAGGCCCAGGGCAGGGAGCTCCTGCAGAGCATTCGGTCTGAAGGTGCTCACTCAGCTTTCCTAGAGATGGGCCGGCGTGGCCGGGCAGGGCAGTGGGCATGGGCAGTGGCTGGTTTCCTGGGAGGGATGCCAGTCTTGCTCAGGCTGACGGTCCCGTGGCCCGCTCAGGGGGGAGAGGGCTGTGGTGGACACGGTGGGTCCTGCCTCTCAGCTCATGGGCACCCCTCAGCCCACGTGGAGGGGCATCAGCCTCAGGGGTCCTCGGGGTGCCCTGGCCATGCTGAGCTAGACAGAGGCGTGCGCTCTCCTCAGACACTGTGTGTGTTGTCAGTAGTGTTCTTTATATAGCGGCTACATGTAAAAACAGTCCCAAATATTACAGGAGTGTGCACATACTACGCCCTTCTGGTTTTCAAAGCCGAGGAACAAAACGTTTTTGCAGAGTACACTGTGTTGTTCACCACGAAAAGAAAGAAGTGGGTGCACTTTGGCCCTGCTTCCTCTGGGAGTGGTGTGCAGCCTTGGCGGGAGACTGAGGGAGGAAGCGGGAGAGCAGGAGTGAACGTTGCAGTCACTTTTGCTCACACGACGTGTTCTCTGTGCTTTTGAGTATGTTGAGTCCCGGGGAGACAGCTGCCGGGGGTCTTGCCCGCTGACTAAGTCCTTCTGGCTCTTCTCCCGCTGGCGAAGCCGGGGGGGAGCGCGTGCGGGGTCTACAGACTCTGCTCCCGCACCGGGTCCTCTGCGGCCCTGGGGGCGGGGAGGAGGCCGGGCTGGTGTAACACGTGCCTGTGGTGGTGGTCTCTCCTCAGAAAGGGGAAGGAATGGGCCCAGGGGAGGGGGCTTTGTGCACGATTCCCTGAGAATTCTGCTACGAAGTCAGGTTAAGCATTTCACCAAGAGGATGGAAAAGCCACGTAGAGAAGACCTGGAAGGATACAATGTACTCTGTAAGGCAGGAGCACTAAACAGAACTATTGCTCTAAGTCTTTATGTGCCTCAAAATAATAAAGCAACACAATCTTTGACAGTTTCCATATTTGTGTAGCCCAGATGCCCGTTTTAAAATATATAATATTTTTTCTATCTTAAGTGAAGACGTTTGGAGAATTTCAAATCAATATATATGCTTATATTCATCTAAGACTGATTTTTCAATCCGTGTAAGTCATTATCACTAATTGCCATAGTACATATTGAGCTAGTTCCTTACGCTTCCCCATGCTTCCGTGTACATGTACACATTTAATGCGTGAAGAAGGATATTACTACTATTTTTTTTTTTTTTTACTATTTCACATAATGTGTTACAAGTGCTGACAGGACTGGCGTAGCCATTGGAGAAGCAGGGCCTGCCATCCTGCGTGGCCGTGACGTGGCCCCTTCCTCGGAAGCTGCGCGCTGACGCTCCTTCGGGCCCGCTCTGCGAATAGCTGGCGAGGACGGGGACTCGCACACATAGCCCCTCTTCCCACACTCGCCCTGCCTCCCCCTCCATTCTCTGAAGGGTCTTTCTCGATGCACAGATTTGCCAGCTCCCACCCTGCCAGACCCCAGAGGTGAGGCCGCCCGGGGCAGCGAGGACACCTCTCGTGTCATCTCTCTCAGCTGCTGCTTGGAGGTTTCACACATTCACAAAAATAACCGCGTTTTTAGCTGATCCCAATAGATTCTTCTCTGCAGCTGCATCACTTGAAAAAGCTTTTTGTTCCAGTTCTTAAAGTCGAAGCATTGAAAGTAATTTGGAAAAAAAGAAAGAAAAGCGTCCCAATTATGATTTGTGTGTGTGATGATGATTCCGGGCTGGGGGCTGCACATGGGCTTTGGAAAGCCAGCAGGAGCGGCCTCGGCGGGCCCGTGGAGGCCTCTGGGAGCTGGCCGGCTCCTGGCAGGGTGGGCTCTCTTGGCAGGACCTCCGGTGCCAACCTGCAGTGATGCCAGCGATATTAGCAAATGAGCTGCACCGAGTGTGCCAGCTAATTCGCCAGAGCCCTGCTCTCCTCTCTCTGCTGTAATTAAAACTAATTATTTTCTAAAACATAGTAATACACGAATGTGTGCGGTAATGGCTTTGTAGTGGGCAATCTGGAGCCTTTGCGGCAGCTTCCCTTCTCTTTGTGCCGTTTGGCACAGCGCGCTCCGCGGGCACTCCGCCTGGAGCCGGCCCCGCTCGCAGGATGTAGAGTGGGCCCCGTCCAGGAACCTTCAGGCTTAGCTCGCTGTGGAATGGCACTGTTTCCTGGTCTTCGCTCGCTTATCGGGCTCACAATGCTCTCCCTCTTCTTCTCCGACCCCTCGCGTGTGTGGGGGAAGGAGGGGGTGTGGGTGGGTGGGTGGGTGTGGGTGTGTGTGTGTGTGTGTGTGTGTGGGGGGGGGGGTGTGGGTGTGTGGGTGTGTGTATGTGTGTGGGGGAGGTGTGGGGGGTGGGTGTGGGGGTGTGGGGGTGTGTATGTGGGGGTGTGGGGGGGGGGGTGGGTGTGGCACCTGCAGCAGTGCTGTGTGTGGGGGGTGGGGGGTTGTGTGTGGGTGTGTGGGTGTGTGTGTGGCACTTGCAGCCATGCTGTGCAGATGGCCTCACAGCAGGTCCTGCAGGTGCTCAGCTGTCACTCGGTACCTACACTCACTCCCACTGTGGCCTCGCTCTTCCTTCAAAGAGAAAGTCAAACTCTTTTTCACTTGAAAATGTCTGTTTACAATAAATGTGTGTAAATCAGTTGCTCTTTGGTAACCTTTCATCCTGAAGCATGGATGAATTTGATTGAATTGGGAGCCAGGAAAGAGAGCAGGAGTTTTCCTGGGATCAGCAGGTTCACTGGGAGTGTGTGGGTGTCGGCTCTAGTGTCTGAGCTCTCCCCAGGCCTGCCAGATGTGCGCGATGCACCGGGCTAGGAGGAAACCAGCCAGTGCAAAATAATTAGAGTCTTTCCTTCGAAACTTACTACTTTTGGCCATTGTCTTTGAAGTCATCTCTTACGATTGTCTTCCATTATAGACTAGGCCACGTGCAATAGATGAATAAGCTTATTTCGAATGAAACACTACAATATGCCAAATGATTTTGCACTTATAGACTCTGTGAATTTAGGAAATGAAGGAAGCACTAAATCCTCTAGTCACCAGGTAAAAAACGTACACAACCAGCATTTACTTTCAACACCTGATGAGCAACTTAAAGACTGGCCTTATTAAATAATACTGCTGTACGTTGACTTTCGGTGGTTTTGATCTTGAGTAAATGATTGCTGCTTTTTTTTTTAAATGAAGGATTGCCAGAATCTCATGCTATTTAGACTTCAGAAATTACAGTTTGCGCTGAGTTACGGTTTCCTTTCCCTTTCCTTCCTTGAAGGGACAGGCCGGTGCCCCGTGCATCACGCAGTGACTTGTGTCCGCGGGCGCCCCAGTGAGGATTCACACGTATAATCCTAAACTCTTTCTCCTGTTTTCGATTAGCATCTATGGGTCTTGCAGATATGATGTCTCCTGGCGAGTCCAAGCTGCCGCTGCCTCTCAAAGCCGACGGGAAGGAAGAAGGCGCTGCGCAGCCCGAGAGCAAGGCGAAGGTACTCCCTCTCTGCACGGGGCTGCCTGCCAACCTGCACGTCCGCGTCGCTGGTGCTGCCACACCGCTTCCGTCTGCTCTCTGCATGCTTCACTGTGCACATGTCTGAGCCTCTCCCCCCCCGTCAGGGCGCGGATCTGAAAGTTACTAGTTCTACGGCACTCATCACGGCGGGGGCGGGGGCGGCGGGACAGGACCCCTGAGAGAAGTGCTCTGGGGTGGGGAGAAGGAAGACCTTGCCTGGTTTTGATTCTTGCAGCCATTTTCTCTGCCTTCAGTTTATAGCTTCCTGTTGTGGCCGCCTCAGCAACAGCAACATGTTTAATATTTTGCTTTCCTGCCTTATTTGATAAATAAGGTGAACAGCTTTTCTTTCCTTTCTTTCTTTCATACGGGGTAACCCATGCTTAACATTCCATGTGAGCGTGAAGTGAGCATGGGGGCTTATGGCCGTATCCAGCATCCGCAAACTCACCGAATTGTACTAATGAAGAATGTTGTCTTAATACCGTCTATGTGTGTGTCTGTGTGTCCGTGTGTGCGTCTCTATGTAAATATGAAAGTTCGTCTGTTAAACTGGATGTACTTTTTGTTGTTTTAAATAAAGTTTGCCCTACCTTTGTCTTTTCTTTTTCTTTTTCTTTTTTTTATTCCTCTACCACAGGATAGCTACAGCTCTCAGGGTATTTCTCAGCCCCCCACCCCAGGCAACCTGCCAGTCCCCTCCCCAATGTCCCCCAGCTCTGCTAGCATCTCCTCATTTCATGGAGATGAGAGCGATAGCATTAGCAGCCCAGGCTGGCCCAAGACTCCATCAAGCCCTGTAAGTGGCTCTGCTTTTTTGTTTTTTGTGGGTTTTTTTTTTTTTCGGGGTTTTTAGATAATTAAGTAATTCTATTTTAATGCTTGCTTATTTGCTTGTTTTATAAGACTTTTTCTTCAATACTGTATCCGTAAAAGGGGGTTCTTTATAATTGTACTAGTAACAAATGAGCAAAGTTGATGTGCATCATAGCATTTGATCAAAGTTGTGTTAGGGTCCAAGCGCCTCCCCATGGTGACCGATCCAATACCGCGCACTTGGCGCGGTTAAAATGGGAACTGCGAGCAGCCGTGGAGTCAATGGCAAGTTTGTTGTATCTGAAACATCTTACTTCAAAACTGCCTGCCTGAGAATAGAAGCGTTAGCTCGGGCCTGGCTTATGTCAGCCCGGTCCCGCCCCGGGGCCTCAGCAGGGAAGCGGTCCGTGGGCCGCCTCTTAGATGACTTGCTGTGCCTGCACTAGACTCGCTGAGATGACAACTTAGACCTGCACAGACTGCTGATAGTCCTGAAACTAGGTGTTGGTTCCATGTGATACACAAAAAACAAAAGTGATAACATATATGTAAGCCTTTATGGTCTCGTGCCCAGTGAGTCTTTTTCCTTCTAAAGAAATTAATTCTGTGCCATTAAAAGAAGAAGAATGGCACTGTGGTAACCTTTATTTTACATTCATATAAGGACTCAAAAGATCTTTTTTTAAAAACCTCAACTTGCAATCACTCGCCAGGAAGGCTTAATTAACCCGCTAATTTTTGTAAGCGGGTGGGTTGGAGAGCACAGCTCAGTCCGAGTGGGAGAGGCTCCCTGGGGCCTGGCCGCCTGGTCAGCACCCACAGGAGGCTCTGTCCCCGGCCACTCGCTGCTTCACGGGGGCGGACGGGCGGGTGGGGGTTGAAGAGTCGGTTCAGCAGATGCTTGTAGAATTCACCGGAGCTCCGGCTAACCAGCGTTCCCTTTGCAGAGGAGGGAGGGGCAGATGTTCGCTGTGACCTTCTCTGTAGACAACCAAGATGAAGGAGAAATGGGGGGAGGGAGGGAAACGTGGGGGGGGGCATGCTGGACAGGGCCGAAGGCCGGGAGGGTGCACTCCTTCGTGCCAATGTCTACGGTACTGGCTTTGAGTCTCAGAAGGCAGCCCACATGGAGGGTATTTCCCCCTCATCGACCCTGGGCTTTGTTTGTTTGTTTTAATCATAAGAAAAGTATTTTTGGCTCAGTAACACTCTCAAGTTAACAGGTAGAATTCAAATTAAAACTTTCCCAAATCATTTGCATATTGGTTCAGAGGGGAAATTTTTAGAGACTGAAAACCTTTAAAACCTTAAGATAATAAATAGCTAAGACCAATAATTGATTAAAAACAAAGACTACTGATAGACTATATTTAAAAATCCCACCTTGTTGATTTCTGAACTATAAAGAAGGGTTGAGGTATTGTATTCTTAACTTAAAAGTTCCGTACGTTCACTTTCTACATGAATATAAGAAAAAAAGCAAACTGATGTTAACCTAGTTTTCCAATTATAATGCATCGTGCTTAAAATTGCATATCACTTTCCTCTTTTTCCTAAATATTTCATGTACATTATCTCTTCCTGTGCCATCACCACTTTGAGAATTCACAAGCCACTCCTGGCTCGGGCTCGGAGATGAGGAGAGGGGGTGTTAGATGACCGCTGTGGGGAGGAAGCCCCTTTCCTGAGGGAGGCGCTCATCCAGGAAAGACCGAGGAGCTTGAAATGAAGGACCCAGTCTGCCTGTGCCGGCACGTCACGCTGGGTGTGCGGTCAGGACGTTCTGCTCTGGCCGGGAGACGTGGCTGTGCCTAGCGTTGCTCTCACCAGGGCCCTGATGAAGTCCGTCTGGTAGCAGGCCCTGCGCGGACGGAATGGTAAAGATGTCTGTGCTTTGACAGAGTGAGACCAAAAGCCAGGCCACAGCCGGCGTCTGAGCAGACGGGTCTGCGGGCCTCGGGGTGAAGTGTGTCCTCTTTGCTGAGGCTTGTTTCTCTGTCCCTTCTCTCTGTCCAGACACCTAAACTCTGGCTCTGGAAGCAGAGCCCGAGGCCGGAGAGGGGATGCTGGGCGTGGGCACGGTCCCGTCTCAGCTTCCAGTCTTACTAGGTAGTGTCCAATCCCGGAGCACCTGGCTCACAAAACCCACTTTTGGGATGTTTTATCAGCCGTTGATTCTTATCCGGATGGTGCCAGACTTTCTAGACCTTTCTTACCACGTGAGTCTCCACTCAGAGCTGTGCCCCGTGCCCTCGGTTCGGTCCCAGCGGTGCCTCCAGGACAGCAGACCCTCCTGTGGACCTTCGTGTCCAGTCGGGAGAGGAGAGGCAGACGGTGCTCCGTGCACAGGGTGTCACCAGGCGCTGCCAAGGGCAGACAGCTGCAGTGAGGGCAGCCACGGGGTCGTCCTGGCACCTGGCCTGCCCACTAGTTTTTTTAATCCTCACCTAACAATATTTTCCTGTTGCTTTAAGAGGGGGAGAGACAGAGAGAAACATCGGTGTGAGAGAACAGGCTGATTGGTTGCCTCCTGGCCAGCGAGGAGCCTGCCGCGGGGTACATCCCCTTGACTGGAATCAAAGCCAGGACCCTTCGTTCGGTTCACAGGCCGGCACTCCATCCACTGAGCCAGCCTGGCTCGGGCTAGCTTTTCATTCAGATGTGTTACGGCACCATGAAAACGTTTTTCTCAAGCTTTAGAAACTATGAAAAATAAAAATAAAATGATTAAGAATTACGCTCTTCAGTACATTTTTCTAATTTTAAGAGAACAAATTGAGATATGCAGGCATGAAACAAGTTTACTTAACAAAGCAATGTAAGGACAGTTAAAATATGCATCGTCAAGCTACTTCAGGCCTGGCTCTGGTCAGGATGACCCACTCCTGTCACTGCCCGGGTCCTGAGTGGCTTCTCCCGGGCAGAGGAGCAGCCAGAACGGCAGTTCAGTCTTAGATCCGGGTGTGCAGAGCTACTTTCACATCGAAAGATGGCTTTTATTTCTCTTTCCCTGAATCGAATCTGATGAAGTGCAAGAGGGAGGTTGGTTCTGTGTTAATTGGTTTTAGGTGAGAATGCTTTTCCTCGTGTCCTTATTTCAAATTATCTTTTATTTTAAACCACTGGATCCGAGTTTTTAGAGTATTTCCCAAAAATGAAAACACTTGGACAGTGGGATTTCGAACCCTCCGACACTTGCCCCGTTGGTGACAGCTCCCGGGTGCCAGAGAGAGAAAGCGGCATCAAACGTCAGCGAGTTCCTGGCCAAAGGTTTCTTGGCTAGAAGAGCTGGAATTCCGTTTAAAGACACAGTTTCCAGCGCGTGTGCTCCACAGCGTAGTGTGTACAAGGGCTTGCAGACAGACCAGGGACGTGTGCGTCCAGTTGTCAGCACTTCTGCAAAGTGATTTTAAGTGGCTGGCTGTTTAGCTTCAGCATCGTGTAAATTCTAAAAGATCACTGTTTTCCTGCCACTCACATTTTTTTCATTGACATCGATTCTGGCACCCGCTTCTGCATATTTGATGTAAAGATTTCGTGCCTCAATAATTCTAAAGCTGGAGGTTTACAATTTCAGTGAAAACAGCCTGTTAAAGGTTTCCTTCTCCAACAACCTTGCTCAGGTCCTCCTCTTACTGGGGGCCATGTTGCTAAGCAAGGTCACCTCAAACCTCGATGGCGGTCATGTTACTCCACCCCACAGGTTAGGATGTGTGTGAAATTACATTAGGCTTCGTGTCATGCAGAAGAGTCAAATCATTGACTATGTTGCAAATGACAACCTAGTGAACAGGAATAAATGAAGTCAGTTACTATTCCAAAGAGATCTTTATAGGGAAGTTAGAAGTGACTTTGTACAACAACCCCCAGAGTTGTAAATACTACAAGTACATGAATATTGTTACAAATATAAACATAAAGGGAAGGGAATAATGTTACAGATATAGAGACATAAAAGGAAGGGAATATTACAAATATGGAGACATGCAGGGAACTGTTGGGCTGTTTAGGACTAAAGTACCCCTTCCCCAGGTCAGGGGTCAGATGGCGGCTTCTGGTGTGCAGAAACGGCAGCTTTCAACATTTCCGTATCGAATATAGTTAGAAATTCTCAATTATGGACTGAGAATTAGAGCATTGGCTGAACCACGTGGGCATTAAGCACATGTGTATAAAAGTAGGCAAGTGTTTACCTGTAGGTTTGCCGGGATAGGAACTAGCACGTGTGTGTGATTAAGGCCTGGCTACCTAAGGCATTAACCGCCCTTCGCCTGGGCAGAGAAATTCAAGCACCTTCGCGGGGCAGCTGGTCACATGAGCCAGGAGCCTGTGGAGCTGGGACCCACGCCCTGTGACCTACCTTTATTTCCCACAAGTTCCCGTGTTTGCTCTTCCTCCATATGATTTAGCGCTTTAATGAAGACACACATTAGCCATTATTTTGACGAGGAAAGTGGTGCTCATATAGTTTTGGGGACATCTTTAAAATGCCGCGGGACAGGGGAAAAATTGTTAAAAATTGGGACTGTCCCGCCAAAAGCGGGACGATCTGGTCACCTTACTCTAAATCCATGTGAAATTTAAATTGATTGTGATCATTCTGTGAGTTAACACCCTCTCATTTTTAAAAATGACAGTGTTGTCATTAGAATCTTGCCTTCTGGGATTCAACGCTTATATCAGTAAAGTAAAAGAGGTTTTTTTAAAGTATATAAGGGGAGGGGGGAGGGTTCAGGCCTTTATTTAAAATCAAAGTAAATTCTTCGTTAAGAAATGTATAGTTTGTGCCTGAACTAGTAGCCTTCATTCCTAGTTGTGTGATAGCAGTAGTTTTTAAAATTTACTCTTCTTATACCTGGTACCTCATCACTTTTTCAAACCTCCTTCCCTGTCCCTCTGCCCACCTCTCCCCTCCCAATGCTCCTTCTGGGCCCAGAAGTCCAGCACCTCTACCACCACCGGGGAGAAGATCACCAAGGTGTACGAGCTGGGGAGCGAGCCGGAGAGGAAGCTGTGGGTGGACCGCTATCTGACCTTCATGGAGGAGAGGGGCTCCCCAGTCTCCAGCCTGCCCGCCGTGGGCAAGAAGCCGCTGGACCTGTTCCGGCTCTACGTCTGCGTCAAAGAGATCGGAGGCTTGGCCCAGGTGAATTGAATGAGTGAGTGAGTGAGTGAGTGAATGAGTGAAAGAATAAGCGAAGAGGGAGGCATTCTGGATAAGCTCTCACGGCAACCTTCTTTGACCATGTAGCCGGGTGGTCTTCTCTCGGAGAAAGAGCTAAGCCTGCGTGAGAGTCGCCTTCATGGGGACCATGCAGGGAGAGCGTCAGGACCGGGACCCTGGCTGCGCAGCCCGCTCGCAGTGTATGGACCTGGGTCCGCATCTGTAAAGGGAGACGCTTGGGCTAGGTTTTTCTCCAGGGTCCCTGACAGCCGCGGAGCTCTGTGGGATCTGCCAGGATTTCCTAGTAAATATTCCAGGAATGTCTTGTGAATGACCAAATTAATTGTCTGAATCGGGTATAAATCAGATTCTCTGCTCCCTCCGTCCAGAGCAATTTATTAAGGAAACGGAGCCATAAGACCACGCCCCTGCCCCTGATCCCGGCTGGGCCCGCGGGGAGCAGCGGTTCCGGGGCGGAGTTTCAGGGTGCAGGTCTGCCCGGGCTGACCCTTCGAGGCCTCCTGCCTGCGCGGTGCAGCTCACACTCGAGGTTGCCTTTGTCCTAAGTCGCTGCCAGTGCAGAGCTCGCCAGTCCCAAAGGCCGTCTGAGGAAACTAACAAGATGAAGAGCCGTGGTGGGGGTGGCCCTGGACCCGGAGGGTTCGCAGGCCTGGCTCCGCCTTTGAGTCACCTGGGCTCCCACCCCGGTCAGTGAAGGGAGCACCTGTGGGCCCGGTGGTCTAATCTAATACACAGGTGGCCCAGGTCACAGACAATCCAAGGGCCAGTCATCTGACCCGCGAGTCTCACCTGGTTCGGTGCTGCACACGGCGAAGTGGGGGTTGGGGGGGTGTTTGTGCAGGAGAGGCCATTGTTCTCCCTGGTGCCCCATCCCCCTCCCAGAGCCTGAGGACTACAACTGAGACAGCGTGGTGCCTGGCCTGCGCGATCACGTGGTCACTCACCTCCACGTCAGCCAGGGGAGAACAAGATGCACATGTCCCCTCCGCACGGAGACCCCTGGCCTCTCCCCTCTGCGCCTACACCTCCTGCACAGATACTTTTATTCCCCAGGATACTAAGCGCCTGGGGTCTGCCAGCGAGCCTGCTGGCCTGGCCAATGAGGGTGCTTGGATGTCGCTGTGACTCAGTGGTGGGCACTTGGCATTGTCGCTCACACCCATCTGCGTCTCTGCTGGTGACCATCCGTGTGCCTGGAGCAGCTGTGGCCGCTCAGCTCAGCTCGGGCCCAGGCAGCCTCTGCCGGTGTCTGCAGCAATGACGGCCTGCCTGTGGCCGCGGGCATTAAGCACCGAGAGCAGTGTTAGGCACTTCGTGAGCGTGTGCGGTTTATATGCACCGTTTAGTACTGAGTAAATGGATATAAAGAGCTTTGTGAGAAAGTTTGAATCCAAAACTGTAACATTTTATTAAAAACCACTTGTGCCCTTAACCTCACCCAGGCTGTGGAATCCAGGGGCACGTGAAGGCACAGTAATCCCGAGTATTTGCAGGTCTTCGTGTTTCGTTCTGGTGTTTAAACCTGCCGTAACTCTTTCCCAGTGGGAATCAGAAGGATGAAGTAAAGCCTAAAGCCTTACAGGCCACGGCGGGATTTTCCCTCTTCTGTTTGTGCCCGTCTTCCAGCCAGAGAGGAAGGAGCGGAAGCCCCAGCTGCTCCTGCCCCTCACAAGCCCCAGCTGCTGCCCGAGGCCCGGGCGGGTGAGAGCTCCAGGCCCACGCGTGTGCCGGGATTTAGGCTGGGGTGGTCTGGTCAGGGCCTGTGGACCTTTGCACCCTGTGTTGCCATTGCACAGCCCACACACAGCCCCGGGGGAGGGCGGACGCCGGGTACAGAGGCCCCACTTCCGGGAGCTCGTTGGAAGGGACACTTTTTCTTCCCAAGGCTGAAACACTTAACAGAAAATAGCTCTGTTGCTCCTTTTCAAGTTGGTTTTAGATACCTTTTTTTTTTTTAATTTTCATTAGAGGAGGGACAGGGACGAGTGTGAGGAGAGTGCGTTTGCTCAGATCCAGCCCTGGCTGCCCGCCGGCTCTGGAGGAGGGCGAGGCGCCGAGGTGCCCCAGGCCCCGTCAGCAGGTCCCTTCGTGGCTCCGCAACTGAACGTGCTGCCTTCGCACGACTGAGTGGGAGTAACGAGCATTAAAGAGACAAATGAAAAAAGTAATCCAGTGCATTAATTAATTAACTAACCATTTTAATCATTTTGTCTCCTGGCTTTGAACAAGCCACTTTGCCACAAACCGGTGACCCTGCCGTTTGGGTTTGTTTATGTGTTTGTGTTTGTTTTGGTTTTTTGCTAGGTTAATAAAAACAAGAAGTGGCGTGAGCTGGCAACCAACCTGAACGTTGGCACGTCGAGCAGCGCGGCGAGCTCCCTGAAGAAGCAGTACATCCAGTACCTGTTCGCCTTCGAGTGCAAGATCGAGCGCGGGGAGGAGCCGCCGCCCGAGGCCTTCAGCGCCGCCGAGACCAAGAAGCAGCCCAAGCTGCAGCCGCCCTCCCCCGGTGAGTGCAGCGCGGGGCCGGGGCCTCGGTGTGGTGGCTCGGAACTGGGCTGGCGTCCTTGCTGGTCCCGCTTTGAAGGCCCCTCCTTAGCTTTGCCTGGCAGTCAGACAGCCTGGCACGGAGCTGTGTGCCTTTCCTCCCGACACCGGTGGTTTTATATAGTCCCCCCCTGTCACGCCGACCCCCCCAGGGCCATGCTGGCCGTCTGCGCCCCGCAAAGTCCTCCTGAGTTTGACAGGCCTGGCAGCCAGACGGGATCTGGACGCTGTGTCCGTGCCACGGGGCAGCCCCGTTAGCTCCAACCTGCTCACCTGACTCCTCACACGGACATCCAAGTGGGTTCCTGCCCGTCTCCTGTCTAATTCACCTGCTGGTGACCGTCAGCTCTGCCAGCCCTCGTTCTGCCCGTTGGGCAGCTTGCTGGACTCCGAAGCCACTGGATCCGACAAACACAATGAGGGGGCGAGAAGAAACCGGGTCACCCCTGTTCTGGGCGGCGGCCTCTCAAGTTCAGCTCCACTGCCCCCGCGTCTGGTCCCGCCACACGCGGTGGTCCTTCCTGTCCCACCGCTCGCTCCGGGCTGGGCTCCCACACCATCGGCATGGTTCCTGCGCACTTTTCTCCACGCTTTGTCACTCGGTCTCCTGTCGGACCGGACACAGAGGTGGCCTTAAATCCGTAAGAAAACAAAGGCACGTAAAGTCTCGGTGACAGACCCAGAGTCTCGGCGACAGGGAGCGGAAAGGCCCCGCGCTCCTGCCTCTGTCGTGGGGGTGTTGGCACTAGAAGAGGTGTCTGAGCCATGGGAACAAGTGGTTTCTCCTAGCGCAGGCCCGGGCGGCAGAGCTGGCGCCTGTGGTCGCCAGGCCAGGGCTTCGCATAAAGGCTCGTGCTGAGCACCGGGTTTAGCTCCGCCGTTGCTGAGGACCAGCAGAACGCCGCCATTCGGACCCTCCCTGAGAACCCGAAGCCTTTGCCTGTGACATTGTCCCTGAAAAGCTGGAACCCAAGTTGAAGATCTCCCCGCATTATACTCACAGAATAAAGCCAGTGGCCTGTGAGCAGCTGACGCCGTCTTTCCCACATAAAGCCCAGTGGTACGCGAACCAGAGGCAATGTCTGCAAAGATCTGAAGGTGCATTTTGTTCGAGGGAAAGAGCTGGTGCCTGGGCCGTCTGCACGCGGCTTGGAGAGTGGCCTCCCGGCGCCTCGCTGCAGTGCAGGCGTCCCGCTGGGCAGGCCCTCCCGAAGGGCCGCCTTGCGGCTTCCTCCTCTAACCTGCAGTTTTATGGCAGCGTTACCGGCTCCCTGCACAGAGAGCTTGGGTTGCAGGTGTGCTTCTGATAGTCCGTCCTCCTGAGCGGCCGCTGGAGCGGAGGCAGGCAGGGGGGACGCAGGGCTCGCCCGTCATCTCAGGTGTGCTGTGCACCGCTCAGCAGACAGACAGGTGCGGGCACGGCCCCTGAGGTGGTGACTCGCATCAGTCCGTGGCCAGAGCCACGCGCTTCTGGCACCCGTGGGCCTATCCTCTCGGGCTCTGGGCTGTCACCAAGGAACTCGTCTCGGTAACGTGACCATCAGTGAAGGAAAAAGGCCATTGTCAACAACTGGCACATCAGGGTCTCACATGCGACAACATTTCCAGAAACCAAATTTCAGCCGAAATGTGTGTCTGTGAGGTCAGTTTTTCCCATGGCACATCATTGTAGTTGATTTCCTTACCTGCACATCCAGGAAAACTAGAAAATTCCTACGAAATATTCTAGATTATTTGTTTAAATCTGATGGGGATGCCCTAACCAGTTTGGCTTGGTGGATAGAGGATCAGTCTGCGGACTGAATGATCCCAGGTTCGATTCCAGTCAAGGGCATGTACCTTGGTTGTGGGCACATCCCCAGTGTGGGGGGGTACAGGAGGCAGCTGATCGATGTTTCTAACTTTCTATCCTTCTCCCTTCCTCTCTGTAAATAAATCAATAAGATATATAAAAAATAAATCAGGTGGGGAACCTTTTTGCTATCGAGGGCCTTTTGGATATATATATCATTTGCAGGCCATACAAAATTATCAACTTAAAAATGAGCCTGCTGTGCTTGGTCAGACATTTAATTAGCTCACCCCTAACGCCTTGGCAGGCCAGGTCAGATGACTTCTCGGACCCTCGGGCTAGTTCCCCGCCCCTGGCTTACATGCACACGAAGCCAGCTTACATCCTGCCTCCCGGGCTGTACTGTAGAGGCTGTACGTCAGCGGAAGGTTGGCGCCCGCTGCTCTGTCCTCTGTATTCATTGATCTGATGTGGCCGGCACGGGGCTGAAATTCAGTGCTGTCAGTCCTTCAGGTGTCACCCCTCAGGCCTCTGGGCCAGCGGCATCTCCACTGGACAGGCCTGTCTCTGGGAAAGGGTCACTCCCGATCTCTCTGCTGGTCCCACAGCTGAGAAGGCCCCGAGTGGAGCTGGACAAGGTCCGGTACAGGGGCGTCTCCGCCCAGTGGGGCTCTCGTCATAATAAAACCATAAAAGCTGCGGACTTCCAATGAGCAGCAGCCACAGCGGTTTCCTACCCAGCTGGCCAGGGCGGCTGGAAACCAGCGGGGGAGGGCGGGGGGGGGGGGGGGGGGTCAGGGGGGAGGCATGGAAGCTCCACATTCAATTAGTGAGTCTGTAACCAAAAACCCATCCATCTTTGCTGGCAGGTGGCTGGCTGCGTTTCTATTATTAGCTGACAGGTGATGTCACAAAACCTGTCACGGATCCAACTAGGGAATCCTCGGTGGAAAACAAACGAGAACGGGCTCCGGTTATAAACAAAAGTGCCCTCTGGGTGACCTCCGGTCCCTGTGGGCCTGGGACAGATCAGCTCTTCCTGCTTCTCCCCGCCCTCCTTCCAGAAGCCGGCCAGGAGGAGGGCACGGTTCGTGCTGTGTGAATTATCCTCCCAGCCAGGAGTCTGGCTGTACAGTGGGAAGTGTGTGAATGTACTTAACCTTCCGTAACCTTTCCATTGTTTACTTTCCAGTATACATTTGTAGCTTCTGGCAAAAGGTGGGGACATCCTAGGGAGCGTGCCAGCCTCTGCTATTCATGGAGCTTCAAGAGGTTGCATTCATTTTTTCCCTGAAAGCAAAGGAAGAAACTCTGGCAAGAGGGAAGAATGTTCCCTTTTTTACGAGCTGTAAATGTGAACACTTGTAAATAAGGGTCATTCTGAAGCACCGCCTGGAGCCGCGCTTCCAGGGAGCGTGCGGGGCGGCGAGCAGCCGATCTCCAGGGAACAGCCCGGCATTGCTCCCGCTGCTCCTGTCTGAGGTTACCCCGATTGGGTTTATAGAGACTGCTTTTCTCTTTCATTGCATTTCTAAATATGCATCCCTAGCGTTTCTCCAAAATGTGGTTTATAAGCATGAGTCAGTGAGTTTGTTTTTTTAAGATGTCTACATATAAAAAGATACATGAAAAGTAAGTCTTCCCGTGTCTCTGAGAACTTCCCAGCATCACACGAGTCCTGGGCAGCCAGGGAAGACATTGCACAGAATACTACAGCCTGTTGGCTGTCACCAGGACTCACCCCCAACCAGGTGGGACCTGGACAGTCCTGATCTCACTGGGCATGGCCCTGCTCACACCTGGGGAAGGCCATGCTCACAGCGGGGGCTGGCTGAGGAGAAGCAATAGACCCATCGCCTTTATAGCACACTCGATAGTGACCAGTTTAACTCTGTTTTCTCTAACGTGCAACGACGATGGGGTCACTCTGAGCCGGGGGCACTGTGGAGGACAGGAACTGTAGCTGTGGCGTGGACCAGCAGCCAGGAGCCGCTGTAGCTGCACAGTGCAGAGCTGATTGTCTTTTCTCATCAGTTTGGTGCACGAGTGGAACTCAGGGATGGAAAAGAGCCTGTAATAGAGCAAGCCCATTACTTACTCAATAAGCGATTAGTAACTAAAACCAATATCTACTGAACACCTAGCATTCTAAGAACTGGGATCGATGATAAAGCAAGAACTCTTAAAATACTGGTTTCCTTTAAGGTGAGGTTAATATTTTCAAGATTCCTTGCTTAAATTTTTGAAAGATCTGCTCAGTTCTAAGCTATTACTATAATGTAATTATAGTTAAAGCCAATCCTTATAAACTCTAATAATGACATTAATGAATCCCAACCCAGTATTGTGTTGTATAGTCACAAATCTGACATCATAGCTCCAAAAATCACTGCTAATGACAGAACATAGATACTTCTAGACACTTAGTAGGCATCAAAATATGATAAAAACCTGTTGATATTTTGTGTCATTGCTTTTCAGCTTAAACATTCTTAAGTTAAAAAGTAAGATAGAACTAATTTTTCTAATTTTTTTAAAACAGCACAATAGATATGCCATCAAATTGATATGCCAAAATTTTCATCCCATTATTCCTTATTCTCAGACATTTAAATTATCTACATTATAAACAACACTGAAATGAACATTTTTCTGCCTAAAATTTTCTTTACATTAGATTGTTTTCTTGGGATTATTACCCAGGAAAGTCATTACCTGGTCAAAGTGTAACTTTTATGGCTCACAAATGAAGTATGTTTCCAGAGTTAAACTTTTACTGAGTTTCACTACAAATAATATGTGTAAAAAAAAAAAATTGTAATGGTGTAAAGTCAAGAATATTAACTAGATTTACTGTGGTGATCATTTTGCAATAGTTACAAATACCAAATTATTACATTGTACTCCTAAAAATATTAGAATACGTCCATTATATTGATATAACCTCTATGAAAAATAGAAGAGTGACTAATTTTACTCCATCATGGCCAGCAGTAGGTATTGTTACTATTTCTAATAAGGTGGTATCTTGTCTTTTTTTTTTTTTTAATAACTAGCAAGGATGATCTTACTTTGATAACCTTGTTTTCCCCCCCATTTCCTCTTGGCTCTTACTACTATCAGCTAATTCAGGATCCTTGCAAGGCCCCCAGACCCCCCAGTCCACTGGCAGCAATTCGATGGCAGAGGTTCCAGGTGACCTGAAGCCACCGACTCCGGCCTCCACCCCTCATGGACAGATGACCCCAATGCCAGGTGGAAGGTATGTTCGAGAGCTGAGCGTGCCGAATCCGACTTCCTGTCTCAATGTCTGCAGCGAGCCTCATAGAGGACGGTGCTCCCTGGCGCGTTGTTACATGTTGACTGCTACTGGTTTTGCTCGTCATTTCTTTGGGTAGTTTTTACATTCACTGATTGTAAGAGCAGCTTGTTTTCTGAGTAAGTGTCTGGAGGCAACACTTCCTGCTCTGACATTAAGCTTTCATTCCTCCCATCCGCTCAGAAGCAGTACAGTCAGCGTGCACGACCCGTTCTCAGACGCGGGCGACTCAGCGTTCCCGAAACGGAACTCCATGACTCCGAGCGCCCCGTACCAGCAGGGCATGAGCATGCCCGACGTGATGGGCAGGGTGCCCTACGAGCCCAACAAGGACCCCTTTGGCGGGATGAGAAAAGGTAGGTGCAGCGGCGCCTGGCTTGGCATGGTCCCGGAGCCGCCTCTCTGCCGTCCCACCCCCGTCCCCTCGTGCATTCGACACCGAGGCCAGCCCCAGCTCCCATCGCTGAGCCTCTGGCCTTGGAGAAAGACTTGGCATCTCTGTGCTTCGTTTCCTCATCTAGAAATTGGGAAATACTGGGGTCTGCCTAAAGGGTGCCCTGAGTATAAAGGGATCAGTCACCTGAAGGCCACAGGAGAATGACTGGCACAGGAGGCAGCGTGCTCTGAATGCTACCACATGTCAGCGGGGCAGTGGGCACAGGGCCTGGGCCGGGCACAGGGCTGGGCGCTAGGGGGATGGTGCAGAGCAGGACTAGCACCTTAAACCACAAACTATAAAGCAAGACAAACTATACTTCTCAAGCCTCAAAGCTGCTTATTCCAAGTAAATATTTTGCAGAACTTGCAATAAATCCATAAACTCGGAAGTTCAAAGGCTTTGTGAGCGTTGGAGGTAGCTATTTTTCTTAGTGGCGTGCAGTTAGAAAGAACATTTTGTGAGTGCTGTTAGTGGTGGTTTCACGTTTTAGACTCTGAAAATATGACAATAATAACATGGGAAGTAATTAGTAGTGTTTAGAATCTGGCTTCAGAAGTCATTGTGAACTTCCTACTACATGCTGTTAGACTGCGAGATTGTATTGTTTCTTGTGCCCACATTTCTCTTATTGCGGAGGGTGGGACGCGCGAGGACTGCCCGCCTGGCACTGGGCAGCCACAGAACTTGTTCTCATCGATCCTGAAAGTGATACCGCTGCTCGGGGGGAAGTTCCGCCTCGCATTTCCCAGTGTGCTTCAGCCCCAGGGCTCCGCTGGGGGACTTAGCACCAAATGGAGGCGGATAAACAGAAAAGCCCGGGGAGACGGGCTCACTCGGTGGCCCTCTGATTCTTTTATTTCACTGCTGACATAAGCCCAGCTTTGTCCTGTGCTTCTGTGGGGAGGCCCACGTCCAGCCTCGCATGGCAGGTGAACGTGAAGATGCTAAAGATGGTTATTATCCGTCGTTTTAATATCTGCCAGTCAGATTGGGAGGGGGAAAGGCCTGGTTATTGTTTTAACTTGGATTTCTTTAATTATTGGTGAAGCTATATATATATTTATCAGCCATTTTTCTTGTTCTGTGAATATCCACTTATGTGTTAATTTTTCTTTTTTTTTTTCTTATTGGTTTTTAAGAACTCTTTGTATATTGGGAAATTAAGCTATTCACTTTAATCATCCCCTTTAATTTCTGTCTGCCTCTGTTTTTAAATCTATAAAATGGGAAATAACATCAAAACTGGTTCTACTGAGGGTTAATGGGGATCAAATAAGATAGAGAATGTGAAAGCCACTGCAGACTGCACCTGCCGCCAGCTTCCGGCTTCCGTGCCTGCGCCTCTGCCGGCCTCACACACCTATCGGCGCACAGACCTCTCGTCAGCTTTGCCTCCTGTGAGATGGAAGTAACCTTCTAGGGCGGAGAAGTAGTAGGACCACATATCAATTAAGATTTGCGTTAAACCGAGTAATTTACCTATAGGCTAGTTTCTGGGCTTGACCCAGTTTCCTTCAGGCGCTGAGCTGATGCTTATTTGCATATTTGACCTAATTGTCGCTCTACCCTGATAGAAATAGCGTGTCTCATCCATTCGGGAGCTATTCCAGCTCCCTGGTGACTGTCTTTACCCTGGTTTTGGAGTGGGTCGGTGGGCGGTGTCTGTGTCGAGGTTCTCACTTCCCCCATCAGGGACGGGCACTAGCTCTGCAAGTGTCTCCCCTCTCCCCAGACCCATGCCATAGACAGGCAGACAGCACAGACATGTGCTGACTTACCCGTCCGTTTTCACTGTTACCACAGTCACCTCACACCTAGCAGCCTGAAGCAGCACAGGCTGAGGTCGGCTCCTGCATGCTCACCCATGCCAGGCTCGGCCCCTCAGCTCGCACAGGAGGCTGGCATCCTGGCCGCTGGGAGTTAGATGTCCATTCAGCCATCGGCTGAGGGTACCGCCCGTTCTTATACGTGGCCTCTCCCCTGCAAGGCGGGTGCTTCTTCAGCACCACAGGGGGCACCCTCACTCAGTCTGTCCGGCCTTTAGAGGCAATGGAAAGGCCCATGGCAGTCTCTCCTCCGGTGACCCCATCATACCCTGGGGTCCTGCCCACCCCGGGGGGCTGTGTGGGGAAGTCCATGGGGTGGGGATCTGGGGTCCATCTTAGGGTCCCGCCTCACAGGGCCCACCTTGACTGTAGAGCTCAAGCTCTTTCTTTCGTGTTGTTGGTCATACAAGGACAAGATAATGTGCGGTGTTAACAAGAACGAGTGGCTACACAGGCCTTTGGCTTTGGAGTGCTGACTGTGGTCTGTTCTTCCCCGCCCAGTGCCTGGAGGCAGCGAGCCCTTCATGTCGCAGGGCCCGATGCCCACGAGCAGCATGCAGGACATGTACAGCCAGAGTCCCTCCGGCACCATGTCCGGCCTGGGCATGGGGCAGCGGCAGCAGTTCCCCTACGGAGCCACCTACGACCGGAGGTGAGCAAAGATGAAACCGTTCGCACACTCGGAGCCCTGGCAGCGATGTCCCACACAGTCCGCGTCCCTGTGGTCCTGGCTCAGCTCTGGGTGTGTGGGTGTGTGTGTGTGTTGGCTGATGATCAGAAGGGTACCAGTTGTCCTGGGACATATATTCCTTTTGTTGTTGTTAATCCTCGCCAGAGGATATTTTTTTCCATTGATTTTTAGAGAAAAGGGGAGGGAGGGAAGAAAGGAGGAAAGAGAGGAGAGAGAAACATTGATCATGTTGATCAGCTGCTTCCCATAGATGTCCCAACTGTGGCCGGGTGTCAAACTTGAAACCCAGGTATGTGTCTTTGGCCAGGAATCAAACCTTGGTGCACAGGCCAAGGCTCTAACCATTGGGTAGCACTGGTCGGGGCATGGGACATACATTCTTAAAGGAGCCAAAGCAAATATAGGAAGAAGGCTGTGCAGCCTAGGTTTGCTGGTGGAAGTCATTTTGGTTCTGCCACATTGGAGAGGGGCTTACCTCATTGCTGAGTTTTCTCTTCTACAAAGCTATTGCTCAGCTTAAATTTTATCTATGTCAATTATATTTTTTTCTCAGCTATAAGCTTCCTTCTAGATATCAATGTTGTTAGCAAAAATTCCCATGTCTGTTTTACATGTGATAGTCTAAAAGTTTATTCATTTTCTGTCTTATTCACTGACCAGTTTAGGAATATATTTAGTTTAATTATTCTATTTCTTACAAGATCAATATACATACTAACTAAACCAGTTAATTTTTCTTAATTTCAAATTTATTGGGTGGTTCTTGAAACATGCTATTTTTATGGTATTTATAATTTCTCAGTATTAGCTGAGAAATAAATGTATTGCTCATTCCCATTTTAAGATTTAATAGCAATACATTTAAGTAATTCCTATTATTCTTTTTTATAGCCTTTTATAATTGTAGGACTTTGAGCACAGCATCCATACAGTTATTAGCTAACTCAATGTCATTTGCATTAATTGTGATGTATACCTTTAAAAATGAGTATTTCTTCTTCGTAATGAGAACGGGAGAAGTTGAGCTAGTTTCCATTATTGTGGGTCCATGTCCTGGTCCTCTGCTTGGACTCTTGGACTCTGTGCTGCTGCTTTCTCTCGTGTGTGCACACAGCACAGCCCTGGATGGCACTCCCGGGGCATCAGTGGGTGGACGGGGCCTCGACTCAAAGGCAGAGGGTGTTGCCCGCCAGCTGGGACTCCTCACACCTGCTGCCCAGCTTGGCAGCGGCCCCAGGAGGGGTGTCCCATACTTTTGCTAAGAGTTCATCTGCAGCTGCTCAGCCTGCCTCTGCTGGAAGGTGCGTGTGAGGGAGGAAAAGCTGTTGAGTTTCAGGAAATAGACTTCCTTTCTCCCGTGGCCTGAGGTCCTTTGTGAAGGAGGTTTCCTTTGACGCCTCGTTCCAGGCATGAACCCTACGGGCAGCAGTACCCGGGCCAAGGCCCACCCTCAGGACAGCCGCCGTACGGAGGACACCAGCCGGGCCTGTACCCGCAGCAGCCGGTGAGTGAGGGGGGAGTGGGCGTGCCCGGGGCCTTCCGGTGCAGACGCAGGCTCTGGTCACTGCGGAGAGTTCTAGCAAGTGTAACCAAAGTGAATAGCATTCGTTGAACAATCAGTGTCATTTGTTTGTGCTGGAGCACAGTCTCAGATTTGGAAGCCAGCAAATTAAAGACAGCCCTTGGTGTAGGGATCCCGAAACAAGCATCGTGTGTTAGGAGTTAAGGAAAGGCGCCCGTGTAAATAGTGACAAGCCCAGCTTAAGTATATTTTAAACGCCTGTGTGCGCTAAATGATCAAACGCCATTTTAGACCAGAAATATGTGAATATATTTTAAAGAGGACATGTAGGAAAAAACAACTAAAATATTACCTACTACGTGGAAGTTGTTGGCTTTTTAAACCAGATGCTAACTGACTGCACATTTGACGGAGGGAGAGGTTTGCTGGTCCTCGCTGCCCTGCAGCCCAGAGGACGCTGGGCGCGGCTTTCAGCACCGGAAGGCAACTTCCACCCGCTCCCAGTCCTAAGACCGCCTGTAAATAGGGGGCTGAACGTGTATTTAATTTTACCAGGGGTGCATCTACAGCGGGCTGTGCTCTTAAACCAGCTGATCCTAACGGTTTTCCAGTGAGGTGAAAGTTCACTCCCATGTCAGCCTCTCACTCACTCCACCGAGACACCGCCCCGGCCAGGAGCTGAGGAGGGGCTGCGCCCGGCCTGTCCTCAGGCTGGGGAAGTCTGACCAGACAAGCCGGAAGTCGGGTGTGGGCCATGGGATGTCGGTGTCAGGGTAGCACAGGTGCAGTCTGAGGAGCCAGATCCTTCGGGAGGCTTTTCTGTAGTTAGGCCTAAGGAATTGTTGAACCCAGGACCCTCTCAGAGTGGCCCTCAGCATATCCTACCCCCTGAGTCCCCTCAGCGTCCCTCCAGGCCCCTGTTCCCACAGACACACCAGGCAGGGACATAACCGGGAGGCCCGTGGGTGCTGGCAGCCCTGGAATGAGACAGGAACCGTTAGTCCTCGGTTACGCCAGCTCCCGGGCCCGTTCGGGGTGAGCATCCCCGGTGGTGACGGTTGCTAGGGGATGTGGTCATTCCTGGAAAAGCACGCGTGCAACCTGCCTGTGTGTGACTTTCAGAACTACAAGCGGCACATGGACGGCATGTACGGCCCCCCCGCCAAGCGCCACGAGGGCGACCTGTACGGCGTGCAGTACGGCGGCCAGCAGCCCGACGTGTACAACCAGTACGGCGGCTCCTACTCCGGGCCCGAGCGCCGGCCCCTGCAGGGCCAGTACGCCTACCCGTACGGCCGCGAGCGGGTGCAGGGCCCCGGCCAGATGCCGCCGCACGGCCTCCCCCCGCAGATGCTGGGCGGCCCCCTGCAGCCGGCCTCCGGGGACGGCCCGCAGCAGGGCCTGTGGGCGGCGCGCAACGACATGCCTTACCCCTACCAGGCCCGCCAGGGCCCCGGCGGCCCCGCCCAGGCGCCCCCCTACCCGGGCATGAGCCGCACGGATGACATGATGGTCCCCGACCAGAGGATAAACCACGAGAGCCAGTGGCCCTCCCACGTGGGCCAGCGCCAGCCTTACCTGTCCTCGTCGGCCTCCATGCAGCCCATCACGCGCCCGCCCCAGCCGGCCTACCAGCCGCCGCCCTCCCTGCCCAACCACATCTCCCGCGCGCCCAGCCCCGCCGCCTTCCCGCGCGCCCTGGAGAGCCGCATGTCCCCCAGCAAGTCCCCCTTCCTGCCCGCCATGAAGATGCAGAAGGTCCTGCCCGCCGGCCCCGCGCCCCAGGCCTCGGGGCCGCCCCCCCAGCCGCCCCCGATCCGCAGGGAGATCACCTTCCCGCCCGGCTCCGTGGAGGCGTCCCAGCCGGTCCTGAAGCAGAGGCGGAAGATCACCTCCAAGGACATCGGTAAGCCGGCCTGCTCCCCGGCGTCCGCGCCAAGAGCCAGGTCCCAGTGCAGGTTCTCCCTGCCATCTCCCTGTGAGTGCAGATGCCAGGCTTCAGAGAGGAGCCTCACTGGGGTCAATTCACTGATCTGAGCTGAAGCAGCACCAGGAAAGCCTGGGTTACCGCGTGTTTTCACGGCAGTGGTCTGTGAGAGGGGGCTGGGGGAGAACCTGGGTCCCCCAGTGGCCGTGGACCAGCTCTGGCCGAAAGCTCTGACCTAAACCAAGCACTTCCTCTCCGCAAGCGTGCTGAGAAAGCTGCAGGCCTGAAGGCAGGGTGGGGTGGGGTCCCGGGGGGAGCGGGAGCCTGAGGTGACGTGTAGGCAGACAGGATTGCCATCTGTGGGTCTGGGAATCGGGGGGCGCTGGACACGGCCAGGGCTGCTTCCATTATCACTGAGGGGCTCGCCAGTCCTGCTGGGGCCTCTGAACAGGAAGGAGACACCCTCTGTCGGGGAATACACACAGCACAGCAAAGGGCATTAAAGATCTTGATTAAACTAAAAGATTCTTTTCAAAAATCTCAAAATCACTTGACGTGAAATCCTATTCAGTGATTAGAAAAATGGTAACGATGGGGTCCCACTCCTAGGACTGTCAGGACCTGTGGAGAAAGGGGTGTGGGAGGTGAGCAAGAGACACAGACGCAGGGCCATTTTATATGTGGAAATAGATGTAAAAATAGGCACACGCATTTGTGGTTTACGTGTGTGTACACGTTTAAATAAATACTTAAATTTATGTAAAATTTCTTAGTACATTTATACCAGTATTTGTAGTACAGAGAAATTCCTCGTTTTAAAAAGGAAGCTTGCTTTTTCTATGATAAAACTAGTATGTATCTATCTTAGAAAAATTGAAAAGTAACGAAATTAAAACAAGGTGGAAACCCACAGTCCCCGCCCGGCGTGAGGCTGGCGTGGCACGTGGCTTGGCTGTGGCTGTGGCTGTGGCTGTGGCTGGGCAGGCCCGCCCACCCCACGTGCCCTCACAGGCTCCGGAGACGGCCCCCCGTCACTGACAAGCGATTGCCTCTTTTCCCAGCCCAGCTGTGGCGCGCCTGCGTGTGCTTTATCACGCGGCTCTTCTTCCTCAGTGACAGGAATGGGGGGACAAAAGTGCGGCTCTGTTTCCCAGCCCCCGGCTCAGGCTCAGACCATCGAAGCGCTGGTGTTGTCCACAGCGTGTCCTGAGCTAAGGAACAGGGCCGGCGCGGGAAAGCCAGGACTTGGCTGGGATTTAAGTCTGACTTACATTCTGCGTACTTGCATCTGTGAATGGAGCAGGCAACAAGGGCAAGCAGCACTGTTCGGTTTGACTCGGCCATTGGAACTGCTGCACCTGTTAGGGGGGAAGGAAAAAGCGGGGCTGTGCTGAACCGCAGCCTCCTGCAGAGGCATGTAGGCCCCTGTTTAACCAGCAAAGCGGAAGGCCTTCGAGACCAAAGTTCTTAGTACGGCCCTCACCTCGCTTCAGATCTGGAAGCGATCGTGCCGATCAACCCCTCAGGACAGTTATGTGAAGCCAGTCCTCATCGCCATTTCTTTCCTCATACTCTTTGTTGTGCGTGGCGTTAATGCTGATCACAGCCTGTTCTTTCCCGCTTTCAGTCACCCCGGAGGCGTGGCGTGTGATGATGTCCCTGAAGTCAGGGCTCTTGGCTGAAAGTACCTGGGCTTTGGACACCATAAACATCCTCCTGTACGATGACAGCACTGTGGCCACGTTCAACCTCTCCCAGGTGAGCCAGCACCACGGAGCCGAGGACCGAGGCCGAGCACGGAACCACGGGTGCTCGCTGCTTCACCAACGCTGGTGCTCGGCGTCTGGCCCTCTGTCACCGACGTCGGCCGACGTGTGGTCGCCCGAGAGTTCAGTGCAGAATGACAGTTCATTTCAGTCTTTCTGTGAATTCACACATACCTATGTCTCATAAGAACACCATGACCGTGTGCGTGCGTGTATGCATGGAATGGATGATAGCAGTCAAATTAAGTTGCTGTTTAGAATGAACATGAGCAGCCCAATGTGAATGAACTCAGATCCACGTAACGTTATGTCCATAGTCGGTGATGGGACGCAGTGGGTTGCATTGGAGTGTTACTCCTCTTTCCAAAGGGACCTCACCTTTCCCTTACCTAAAAAATTTTTAAAAAGGGAAACTAAAGAGAAATTTTGTATTTAGAAGATATATATTAGGTCTAGTAATAATTAATGTCATTTTCTAATACTTTTTAAAATCGAATTTATTTAAACAATACAACAAAATTTAATCAACAATATAGTTGCCGTTGTTTTCTACTACTTGTGCCCAACACTCAGGAAGCATTTTAATCCCTCTGTTGTAAAATTCTTGTGATTTTGATGCAAAAAATTCGGTCAATGCATTTTTGAGGCATTCTTCATTATTAAATTTTTTTCCAAGAAGAAAGTTTTGCAAAGAACGAAACAAATGGTAATCGGAAGGGGCAATATCAGGAGAATATGCAGGTTGAGGGAGAACTTCCCATTCCAACTGGCGCAGTTTTTCAGCAGTGATTCTTGCAGTATGCGGTCGTGCGTTATCGTGGTGAAGAATTACACCCTTTCAATTAATCAGTGCGGGTTCTTTTTCTCTTAAAGCTTGGGCTAACCTTTCCAATTGGGCACTATACACTGCACTTGTAATGGTTTGGGTAGATGGTAAAAGTTCATAATGAAGAATTCCTTTAAAATTCCACCAAACACACAACATCACTTTTTTCGCATGCAAGTCAGGTTTTGGCGTGGGCTGCGGAGCCTCATTTTTGTCCAACCATTGAGGCCGCCTTTTCAAATTAACATACAGCACCCATTTTTCATCTCCAGTAACAATTTGCTCTAAAAACGGCAAACGGTTTTGACGAGAGAGGAGCGAACTGCAAATTGTGACTCTTTGATTACGGTTGTTGTCGGTCAACTCATGAGGAACCCATTTTCCAAACTTTTGGGCTTTGCCAAGTGCATGCAATTGATTGGAAATTGTTTTTTGTGAACAATTTAAAGTTGTCGCAAGCTCTTGTTGGGTAATTTGAGGATTTTGCACCAAAAGAGCTTGAAGAGCTTCTTGATCAAAATTGGACACACGGCCTCGACCACTCTTGTCATCTAACGAAAAATTTCCCTCGTGAAATTTCTCAAACCAACGCTGGCATTTTCTGGCGCTAACTGCATCTTGACCAAGAGCACTACAGATGTTTTTTGCAGCCTCACTTGCTTTTCTTCCTAATTGGAACTCGTAAAGCATGCAGTGCCGAATATGCTCTTCATCCGCCATCTTCTTAGCCCTAGTTTTGCAACAAAAACCAAACCAAACACAAACTTTTCCAAGCAAAACTTGTTAATTGCACTTCACACGTTCTGTAGATACCACGTGTTTGAAGGTTATGTCAATACAAGTCAACGCCAAGCAAGATTTTAAACGAATGTTTAAAAACGACATTAATTATTACTAGACTCGATAGTACACAGTTGACACTTGAACAATCAGGGGTTACAGGTACCCCACACAATCAAAAAGCTGCATATAGCTTTGTCTCCCGAGATACGTACGTTGTTCCTTAGTTTCCGTGGGGGTTGGATTCCAGGACACTCACCCCTCACCCCATGAATATCGAGTCCGAGGATGCCCAAGTCCCTATAAAACGGTGTAGATCTACGCATACAGCCAGCCCTCCGCGTCCACGGACTATACACGTAAAGACAGTTTGATGAGTCCCACGTGCCCTCATTCAGCTGAAATAGTCATGCCTCCTGGCCACGCCCTCCAGGTGGTTGATCCCTCCTCCAGAAGCCCTGGACGGAGCTGCCAGCCCTCCTCTGCGCGGCACTAGGTTTAGAGAAGATTCCAGCATAACAGCTCGCAGAGCGAGGGAGCTGAGGGTTAGGAGACGCCCAAGGGTCCCCTCGCTACGGACTTTGAAAGAAATCCTCAGAAACAAACATGAGAAAGGGGTGTTTTCTCTACTGTGTGTGAACAACTCTCTGCTTTGGCGGAAAAGCCCAAACCTCTGATTCCTTCTATTGAAATAGGACAGAACCTCCCTCTCTCATTTAAGTGCTCATGTACTCGAAAGGCAGTTTCTCAGGTGTCAGGCAGTGTGTGAATAAGGTCCTAAACCTCACATGACGTCCGTTTCCACGGACAGTAAGGATTAAAACGTGTGTCCTTTGCGGGAGTGATTACTGTGTCCTGTGGGCGGTGGCTCTGTGGGCCCGCCTGTCAGGCAGGTCGGCTTTGGCCCGGGAAGGAGGTTAGGGCTGGGGGGGCGGGGGGACACCCCACACCTGCGCTGGGAGATCCTGCCTGTGCTGCAGGCGGTGCTCTCTGGCTGCTCCCAGTCCCTTACGCAGTGACCACGCGCACCGGGAGCTGGCCAGCTCGGGAGGCGGTGCCCGGCTCACACTGGCCCTGAGGAGTCCACTCTCGCTCACCGTGCTTTGTCGCCCCCAAGCACGCTGACGGGACTCGGGAGGGAGCTGAGCGGTGCTAACTGGGGGGGTGTGCTTTTCTGGGCGCACACGTGCTCAGAAGAAACAGACGGTCCGGCGGCTTTGTCTTCAGCTAGCACCTCCAGTAGCTGGAAGGTAAACTGCCTCCAATGAGACATTCTAACCCACTTATCGGGGACTCAATTGATTTGCTTTTAATTTTCTGTTATTAAGGCTACCATGTTGCTAAAAATATCTCTCGCAAAGAGTATATCAACGTGGCCTATGGCTCCTGAAATAACAAAAATAACCATCCAGTTTGATGATGAAACAGTAAAAGCCAGGCAGGCAGGGTCTCATGAAATAAGAGGAAAGAGCAGACTCAATTCCCACTCTTGCAGTGATGAATGCATTGAGTTTAAGTGGGGGGGGGGGGGGGGGGGGGGGCGGGTAGGAGAGGGGGATCTTAGAAAAATGAAGAAAACAGGTAAGTTTTCATGTCAATAGTGCAGGAGAGTAAGCAGGACATGAGAAACATGGCAGGTATCGGTTTGGTTGATAATAGAACTTGAGCAGGACGGTAGTAACGGTAAGTAGTTTGGGCCTGGCCAGGCATGCAGTGGATCCTGGGAGAGTCCTCCCAGGCTAGGGCTCGCTGTCGGGGCTTACCTGGCCACAGGCCTAGCCGATGTCATGACACTGAGCCTGTTCGTGTCTCTCTCCCCTCCTCTGCAGTTGTCCGGCTTTCTGGAACTGTTAGTCGAGTACTTCAGGAAATGCCTGATCGACATTTTTGGAATTCTCATGGAATACGAAGTGGGAGACCCCAGCCAAAAAGCACTTGACCACAACGCAGTGAAGAAAGATGAGGCCTGGGCCGCCGAGTGTGGGGGAGAGGAGGACGCTGCAGAATGCATGGAGGAGGACGAGGAGGAGGAGGAGGAGGAGGAGGCCGAGGAAGAAGACGGTGCCAAGGCCGAGGCGGGGGCCGAGGGGAAGGGCGGCGCGGCCCTGAGCCCCTCGGACGCTGTGGCCGAGCCAAAGGAGAAGCCCCAGCAGGCCAGCAAGTTCGACAAGCTGCCCATCAAGATCGTCAAGAAGAACAACCTGTTCGTGGTGGACCGCTCGGACCGGCTGGGCCGCGTGCAGGAGTTCAGCAGCGGGCTCCTGCACTGGCAGCTGGGCGGCGGGGACACCACGGAGCACATCCAGACGCACTTCGAGAGCAAGATGGAGATCCCGCCGCGCCGTCGGCCGGCGCCCGCCCCAGGGCCCAGGCCGGAGCCCGAGGGCCAGGCCGAGCCGGAGGAGCAGCCGGAGAAGAGCATCATCGCCACCATCGACGACGTCCTGTCGGCGCGGCCGGGCGCGCTGCCGGAGGACGCCCACCCCGGGGCGCCGCCCGACAAGTTCCCGTTCGGCATCCACCAGGCGCGGAGCCACCGCAACATCCGGCTGCTGGAGGACGAGCCGCGCAGCCGCGACGAGACGCCGCTGTGCACCGTGGCGCACTGGCAGGACTCGCTGGCCAAGCGCTGCATCTGCGTGTCCAACATCGTGCGCAGCCTGTCCTTCGTGCCCGGCAACGACGCCGAGATGTCCAAGCACCCGGGCCTGGTGCTCATCCTGGGCAAGCTCATCCTGCTGCACCACGAGCACCCCGAGCGCAAGCGGGCGCCGCAGACCTACGAGAAGGAGGAGGACGGGGACAAGGGGGCGGCCTGCAGCGAGGACGAGTGGTGGTGGGACTGCCTCGAGGTCTTGCGGGACAACACGCTGGTCACGCTGGCCAACATCTCCGGGCAGCTGGACCTGTCTGCGTACACGGAGAGCATCTGCCTGCCCGTCCTGGACGGCCTGCTGCACTGGATGGTGTGCCCCTCCGCCGAGGCGCAGGACCCCTTCCCCACGGTGGGGCCCAACTCCGTGCTGTCGCCGCAGAGGCTCGTGCTGGAGGCGCTGTGCAAGCTCAGCATCCAGGACAGTAACGTGGACCTGATCCTGGCCACGCCGCCCTTCAGCCGGCAGGAGAAGTTCTACGCGACGCTGGTGAGGTACGTGGGCGACCGCAAAAACCCGGTCTGCCGGGAGATGTCCATGGCGCTCCTGTCGAACCTGGCCCAGGGGGACACGCTGGCCGCGCGGGCCATCGCCGTGCAGAAGGGGAGCATCGGGAACCTGATCGGCTTCCTGGAGGACGGCGTGACCATGGCGCAGTACCAGCAGAGCCAGCACAGCCTCCTGCACATGCAGCCGCCGCCGCTGGAGCCGCCCAGCGTGGACATGATGTGCCGCGCGGCCAAGGCGCTGCTGGCCATGGCCCGCGTGGACGAGAACCGCTCCGAGTTCCTGCTGCACGAGGGCCGGCTGCTGGACATCTCCATCTCGGCCGTGCTGAACTCGCTGGTGGCGTCCGTCGTCTGTGACGTTCTCTTCCAGATCGGGCAGTTATGACCCCGGCGAGGAGGCCGCCGCGAGACTGGGCTCCGCACGCCGGCTGTTTCCGTTCCGCTTCTCCGGCGCAGCGAGAAGGAAGAGAGAACGTGCGCTCCTCTGCCCCGATCATAGCTACCGATTGGGAATTAAAGAGATAATTAATTCGAACAGATATGAAATTAATATTTGCTGTCTGTGTGTATAAATACATCTGTTGGGTTTTTTTAATTTTTTTTTTTTTTAACCAAAGTTGCTGTCCAGTGCATTCAGAGGTCACTTTTTGTTTTTCACAGATTTCTTTCTGATGTTCTTTCTTTTCCATGTTGTATTGCATTTTTGGGGGGAAGCAAATTGACTTTAAAGAAAAAAGTTGTAGCAAAAGATGCTAAGATGGGAAGTTTTCACCACACTGAGGCAAAAAGGTGGACACCCATCCCCGTCCCAGGCCTGTTGTCCTTCAGATGATGCGACAAAGCTGTCCCCTCGCCCACAGCTCTGTGCAATAGAAACTGCCAGAAGGGTAGGCTCGGGGCTCACCGAGGCGTGCCCGTCAGCAGTCAGGCTGGGAGCGACACTGGTTCCTCCACAGGAGCGTGGTCACCGTAGCTAGGAGCAGTCCTGATGGGTTTTTAAGTTAAGGTTGGAAATACGTACCGGACAACTATCAACGGAAATTGCTTCCTCACCACTACGTCATGTCTGCTGTCTCTTTGACCTTCCACATGACAGTTCTTCACAATTCCTTTAATCATTTTTTAAATATTTTTTTTTACCGCCTATGGGCTGTGATGTATATAGAAGTTGTACATTAAACATACCCTCATTTTTTTTTCTGTTTTTTTCTTTTTTTTTTTTTTTTTTTTTTTTTAGTACAAAGTTTTTAGTTTCTTTTTCATGATGTGGTAACTACAAAGTGATGGTAGATTTTAAATAATTTTTATTTTATATATTTTTTCATTAGGGCCATATCTCAAAAAAAAAAGAAAAAATACAAAAACAAAAACAAAAAAAAAAGAGGGTAATGTACAAGTTTCTGTATGTATAAAGTCATGCTCTATTTCGGGAGAGCAGCTGATCACCATTTGCTTCATGAATCAAGGTGTGGAAATGGTTGCGTACGGATTGATTTAGAAAATGGTCACCAGTTACAGACAAAAAAGAGAAAAATACAAATAAAAGGAAGAAATACAACTTCAAAGATTTTTCAGTGACGAGAATCCACATTTGTATTTCAAGATAATGTAGTTTAAAAAAAAAGAAAAAGAAAAAAATCTTGATGTAAATTCCTCCTTTTCCTCTGGCTTAATGAATATCATTTATTCAGTATAAAATCTTTATATGTTCCACATGTTAAGAATAAATGTACATTAAATCTTGTTAAGCACTGTGATGGGTGTTCTTGAATACTGTTCTAGTTTCCTCCAAGTGGTTTCCTGGTAACCCGGTCCTTTATCAGATACAGAGGAATACAGCCGTGTGCTAACCAAGTCACTCGTCACCAAACCGTGAGGTTGGAAGGGACCCTTAGGGGTTACCGGCTAGAGTGGGGAGCAACAGTTTGACTTTCTCAAAATTATTTAGCTGATTAGCCTTTGTTCGAAGCAATCAACTCTAACGCCATGGAGGTCTGAGACTTTTCCGTGTACGTGGGCGGTGGCTGCCGGCCGTGGGGCGAGGCCTCGGGAGCTCTCCGGCCTGAGCGAGACTCTGCCTTTTACTAACTAACCGTCTTAACTTTAACCAGATTCGATCTGTCCCGTGTTTCTTCTGTGTGCCTCAGAGTTACTTTGCATTTAGTCTCCTCCACCGTGTATAATATTTATATTGTGCAATGTTAAAGAGAATATGTTCTATTGTATGTGGTGTACATAGTGCAAAGTGATTATTTCTATTTCAGGGCATATTACTATTCTCATATCCCTTCCTATCTGGTGCACAGTAGCTTTTTAATACTAGCCGTTTCTGATTTAAACGTTTCCTCCCTGGGTCATTGACTGTTACTGTCGCCATCACTCTGAAACTGCTGCAGAACGAAGCTGTCAGTGGGCACCCTCTTAAGTCTACCTCTTCACACACCCTCCCGGCACCGCCTGCCAAACTCCGAGTCCTCGCTGGGCCTGTGGTCCGGGCGCCCGTCACTCATGCTCACCCTGGGAAGAGTTAGGCAAGAGCTCACAGTTCTGATCCGAGTGAGACGTGACTCTCGAGTGTCACAAAGGAAAGTTTTCCTGCAAGCAGCCTCGTCCGTCCGCGCCCACATCCCTTAGTCTTCTCACATAGCCATCAGCCAGACGTGTGGTGAATTAAAAACCCATTCGTAATCTACTTGAAATACATCTGCTTGCTGAGAACAGATTTCAGAGCTCCAAGCTTCAAATACAGAATGTGTAAGAGGGGGTTCGGCATTAATAGAGCTGCTCTCTTATAGAGTATGAATAAAGGTGTATACAAACTTCACAGTCTAGTATCCCAGTTCATTTGTCCATCAAAAGGTAAAATCATTACAGAAGGCTGTTGTACTCAGGACCTAGAGTCCGACCACTGAGCGACACGTGTCTGCGTACTGACGTGACCGTGACCCCTAGAGTAATCCAGGAGGACTAGCATCCTTCCTACATTCTCGCCCCAGAGTCAAGACGACCAGCCCCTGAAGGACTCGGCTCGCCTGAGATCATCTTGCCTACAAACTGAGTTACTCTCTGTCCTAAAAATTAGCTGCTGTTCTTATGAGGCTTCTCGGAAATTCACAGGATGCCCGTACTTCAAATGTGTAAAAAAAAAAAGATGAAAATAAAGGTGCGAAGAAAGTTTAGTATTTTGGAATGGTGCCATAAAGTGGAGTCTGTTGGTATCGGAGTGAATATTTTTTAATGTCACATAAAAGCAACTACTGGGTGGCAGGTTCTCAAAAACGATTCAAGTGTTTTATTTGAGGTTGAGAATGACATAGAATCAGTTTTTCTTGGTGAATGTGGCCTATTCAAAAACTAGTTAAGCTGTTTTTTAAAAGTTAGAACGGAATGACTTTTTTAGAGGGGTCAGGGATGAGCAGCTTGAAGACACAGTGTAAGCCACTAACTGCCTCTTTTATGAAAAGAAGGCCTTTGCCATGAAATCCATCCGTTTAAAAACGGTTGGAAATTGCCCATATCCTATCAAACCTCAGGTGCTGTTCCCGCACGTTCACCTCAGAGGAAGCAGGGACGTGTGGTGAGTGAGCAGGACAGCCCATTCCTTCTCGCTGACTCTTCTGTGTGGAGAGCTGAGGCCCAGCTGCCTGACCTCCTTGCGTCCCCACCTCCCCCCCGTCCCCCATCCCCCGGGAATGTCATAGAGTCTATGACAGACGAACTTTTTAAATCGCCAACAGACGTGTGGTCTGCAGCCCACTGGCATGTCCCAGTATTAATGGAGCGGAGATGTACTGAGCACATGCTATGTGCCAAGCTATGTTCTAGGCACTGAGCCATCGTTAATGAACAAAGACCCCATTTTAATTACGTTCTTGTCTTTCCTGTCAGTTATAGAAATAAATGAATCTCCCGGATAGAGTGTTCCTGCGTTGAGAACACCTGGTATAATTAATTTGTTGACTGAAAAAGAAGGTGAACCTGGGTGTGGGGAGAAGAGGGTTGGGGGTTTGGGTTAGGGTTAGGGTTAGGCCGAGAAATCATGGGCCTCTAGGGAGATCCCAGGCTATGGCCTGACTGTGAGCTCAACCGTGTGGACGGGTGGTCCCCAAGGTCCTGTCCACCCTGACAGGTGGATTCTGGGGCTTCTGGTCCTTTCCTGCTTGTCTTCAGGTGATGGGCTGTGTGTTCCAGGTGGAGGGGAGACAGAGACAGGACCCTGGATCCCAGTTTACAGGATAAGCCCTTGGAAATCCAGGAACTGACGGAAACTGCACCGAGATCTTACTCTATAACGTGACGGGCCCATCTCAGTCCCGGGCTTCACGCTCTGCCCCGATCTCCAGTCCTGCATCTGGTGGTGACCAAGTCCTTCAGTCCTTTCAAACGCCAGTCAATCTAGCAAGTTAACTTGGGATTTATATACAGGAAACCCTGAGGGGAAGTTGGGGGAAGGCCATCAACTGTATCCAAAATCACAAGACTCCGTTTTTCTTTGTCCTGAATTTGGTTTTAGGGAGTTGAAGTTTATCCCTAGCTTTTTCCAAAGTAAATCCTAAGAAGCATAAGAGATGTCACAGAGCAAACGCCTTACGCTTTCTCTTGGCCAACGATAACCCATGTTGTAGCATTGAAGACTGAGGAATCCTGCAGAAAAGAGGCCTGTGTTTCAAGTACTTCCTGATTGGTGACCGGGGAGCCTTTTATTCTGAAACCCTATAAGCCTGCTGCGAGCTTTAAGTACCTGCACCGGCCGCAGATCTTGCCTGGCTCCTAAGCCACGCTCCCTGCGTACGTGTCCACAGTGTATTCTTACGCCTGAGACTGAAGCAGAGACAGCCTCCCTGAAGTCCTGGGACCTCAGTGTCCCAGTGTCCCTGTAGCCTTCAGCAAGTTTCTGAATTTCTCCAAACCTCAGCTTCCTCACCTGTAATATGGGGTAATGCCTGTCTTGGGGTGGGTGAGGATTAAATACGATCTCTAATGATAAAAGCATAATATGCTAATTAGACCGGGCGTCCTGCCAGACATCCCTCTGGACAAATTTCTGTCCCTCGCACAAATTTCGCGCATCGGCCTCTAGTGATTATATAAAGGCCTTGTAACCTCAGTGATCGCTGTTCATTAATCCTACACATGCATGTGCACATACAATCTTCCTTTGCTGTGCGCCCTCACAGGTATTTCCTGCAATGTTTAAATCTGGCCTAAGACTATCTGACCATTTCGTAACCAGTCACGCACCTCAGGTGACTGTTGTTGGTTTTCTATTGAAAGCCGTGAAGGCTCAGTCTATGGGTTGCCTGTGCTTCGTGCCACGGGAACCGTTTCTGCAGAATTTCCCGATTGAATGTCAGGTTCGGTCTCTGGGCACCCCCAGCTGGTGGAGGACTCCCCTTTAATTTTTGTGCGCCTGGGGCACACATCTCAAACAGGGTCGCGCAATAAGCTTGCCCCGCCCTGCCCTGCCCTCCTCAGGAAAAAAAGTGGCAGCAACATGTTTCCAAGGGTCAGACAAGCCCCTCAGTGTTTTGTCTAGCCCAGTGGTCGGCAAACTGCGGCTCGCGAGCCACATGCAGCTCTTTGGCCCCGTGAGTGTGGCTCTCCCACAAAGCACCACACGCGGGTGCGCACGTACAGGGGGACTGAAACTTGGTGGCCCGTGTGCAGAAGTCGCTTTTCGGCCTGGGTGAGTATTTTGAAGGAGTGGCGTTAGAAAAAGTTTAAGTTTAAAACATTTGGCTCTCAACAGAAATGTCAGGCGTTGTGCTGTTGATATTTGGCTCCGTTGGCTAATGAGTTTGCCGACCACTGCCCTAGTCTTCTCCGTCGGATGCTCCCAGCAGATCTTCCCAGAGAAAAGGGCTGGTCCCCCCTGTGGCTGGCGAGGAGGGGCGGGGGCTTCTGGTGCTTATTTCCTGAAAGCTCAAGTTCAGGTAAGGAATGAAACGAGCTCAGACTGGTGTGTAGCCGCCCGGAATCTCTGTCCTGCAGCTGCACGTTTCCCCCCAGGCTCAGCACCTGAGCGTGGAGCTGCTCTGGAAGATGCCCTGTTCAAAGCCCTCCTGCATCCCCACCCGGTTCCCGGTGAGTGGCGTCTGTCAGTCCCCCCAGAGCAGCCTTCACAGCCCCGGAGGCCGGGCCTGGCCCAGGCCCACGGGCGCCCTCGGGGAGCGACTAGCCTTGGGGGCGGGCACGGGCTCTGGGCCTTTCCTGACGGAGGCTCACACGGCGCCCTGCAGAGGGCAGAGCCAGCGGAGGGGGGCTTCCTCCCCTCCCCTGCAGGCCACTGTCCCCGGCCGCCTGCCGCGCCTGCCTGAGCACCACCCCCCCAGCCTGTCCTCCTGGGCGCACCAGCCCCTTCCCCACATGGCTACCTCTGGGTCTGCCCTCAGCCCAAGGCACTGGCCCGGGAGTCCATGTAGCAGGAGATGCCGCTTCGGGCAGATCTGGCTCAGACGCCGCCACCCAACATCCGTCTGGAACCCTTAACTCCCGTCACGGCTGCGGGACCCGGTGCTGCGGGACCTGGGGCAGGGCCCCCCCCCCCCTCCATGCAGGTCTCATGGACCCGGGGGGCGTGGGGAGGGGGGAGGTTACTGAGTCTTCATCCAGCAGCGAGCTGTGTATTTAACTCTCTGACTTGCCTTCAGCATCCAGCCCTTCAGCCCTGTTCCTGCTTCCCTGGGTCTGTTGGCCATTTGTCTGGTCTCCATGGCAATGGCACCTCTGATGGATGGCTGTTCCTAAG